TAGGACAGGAAGTGTGTCTGTTTCATTCTCCTACGCCAGCACCTACAGCCACGTCTGCCCCATAGTAGGCTCTCAGCAAGCATTTGTTGTCTGGATGGTATTATTCAGGCAGCCTGAAATTCCATCTCTGAGCCATGGAGAAGAGAGGTGAGTGGAAAAATAGGTATGAGTCCCACTCGTAGACAACAGGCAGGACTGCTAAGGAAGAGGTCATGGAGGGGAAAGAAATAGAACACCAGAGAAAGATTGACGGCAGGAAATGAGACAGAAAAAGAGCCCTGGAGGATTTACTTTCAAGGAAGTCATGGGAAAAAAAACGAGTTCAAGAGAATTGCGCTGAGTCCAGATGAAAGGCTGTCTTAAAGGTGAAGTATGAAAATTTGTGGTTAGCAAGCAGCTGACTCTGAAGTTTAAATGTGTGGTTTAAGGCTCGGAGGAAGGAAATGACAGCCATTGTGTAATAGTTTTCTAAAACTTGGCAGGCTTTCCAATGTGGGTCTCTGCCTACCTTGCCTGGAAAGTTGGGAGAGCAGGGAGCATTCAAGATCACAAACGAAAAGGAGGGTCGGGCCGAAGCCAGTTTGGCTCACTGGTAGAGCGTCGGCCTGTGGACTGAAGGGTCCTGGGTTCGATTCTGGTCAAGGGCATTTACCTGGGTTGCAGGCACATCCCCAGTAGGAGGTGTGCAAGAGGCAGCTGATTGGTGAGTCTCTCTCATCGATATTTCTAACTCTCTATCCCTCTCCTTTCCTCTCTGTAAAAAAAATCAATAAAATATATATTTAAAAAAAAAAAAAAAAGATCACAAACGAAAAGGAGTGTCGGGGCTCTCCAAGGTGCTACTTCTCCACGAAATCTAATGCAGTTGAGGTCTATCTTCACTCACAACGTGAAACTGAAAAATCAAATAAAACATGTAATATTTGCCCTTCGTTATTTGGTTTAGGCTGGTGGAGCAGGCTCGGTGATGTTACTGTCAGGTAGACGCAATTAGCAGCAGCAGGTTTTCACCTGAAGTGTCTCCTTCATTACACTTGAATCTCAATTGTGTTCTCCCACTCACGGAGACTGAGTAACCGGTTTTCCGAGTTTTTCCTGAAACAGTTTTGGTTATGACAAACAACTTGGGATCCCTACTCATCAATATTTGAGAAGGGCATTTTTATAAAAACAGGCAACACGCGTTTTAAAAAACGAGTTATTCTTTTATTTATTTATTTATTTTTTGAGAAATAGAAAGCCCTTCTATGGTCAAATGGGTCCACAGGAATCCACCAAACAAGATACAAATATACTTTCACAAACAGCCTTAGGGTCCCCCCCTCCCTACTGGAGAAACATAGGCCCTGTGCAGTTGTCTAAGGAACTAAACCAAGTACCTTTTATTGTTTAAATACGTTTTTATTGATTTCAGAGAGGAAGGGAGAGGGAGGGAGAGATAGAAACATCGATGATGAGAATCATCCTTCAGCTGCCTCCTGTACGTTCCCCACTGGGGATCAAGCCCAAAAACCAGGCATGTGCCCCTGACCAGGAATCAAACCGTGGCCTCAACCACTGAGCCATGCCAGCTGGGCCCAAATACCCTTTTAAAGACGAGTATCCCTCCCTAGCCAGTTTGTCTCAGTGGATAGAGCGTCGGCCTGCAGACTGGAAGGTCTCAGGTTCGATTCTGGCATATGATATGCCCGGGTTGCGGGTTGGATCGCCAGTAGGGGGTGTGGAGGAGGAAGCCCATCAGTGATTCTCTCTCATCACTGGTTTGTCCCTCTCTCTCTTCCTCTCTGAAATCAATAAAACTATATTTAAAAAAATAAAAAGACGAGTTTCCCATAGTTAAGTGCTGATCCCCTCCCTGTGCAAGGCTTTTCTACAGGACCTAGCACCTTTCCCAGGCCACTCGGCACTCTAGGGCTCAGATGTTCTTTTCTGTAAACTAAGGAGGAAAGTGGTGTGTGTGGTGGGTATGACTGTGTGAGTGTCTGTGTGGTGTCTGTCTGTGTGGTGCGTGTCTGTGTGTGTGTTGTGTGTGTGTGTGGTGGGTATGACTGTGTGTGTGTGTGTGTGTGTGTGGTGGGTATGACTGTGTGTGTGTGTGTGTGTGGTGGGTATGACTGTGTGTGTGTGTGTGTGTGTGTGTGTGGTGGGTATGACTGTGTGTGTGTGGTGGGTATGACTGTGTGTGTCTGTGTGCTGTCTGTGTGGTGCGTGTCTGTGTGTGTGTGTGTGGTGGGTATGACTGTGTGTGTGTGGTGGGTATGACTGTGTGTGTCTGTGTGCTGTCTGTGTGGTGCGTGTCTGTGTGTGTGTGTGGTGGGTATGACTGTGTGTGTCTATCTGAGTGTGTGTGTATGAAAGTGCCGGAAGCGCTTGCAAGCTCCCCTCCAGCTCTCAGGTCATTTCACATTGATTTCTCCCCTTCCGCCACGCTGCTCCCCTCGCGGAGAAGCCTTGCGGATGAATCCTCCGGGTGTGCAAACAGAGAGAGCAGGCAGCCTGCTCACAGCTCACAGTAGGGCTGCGGAGAAGGGGTCCTGGAGGGCTCAGCACCTGCCCGCCGGCCCCGCCCCGGCCGCCCTCCGCCGGCCGCGCTGGGGAACAAGATGGCGGCTCCGCTCTGCGGCCGCCGCCCGCGGCCGCGCCCCATTGGCCGGCTGCGATGAGGTCACTCAGGGCGGAGGCGGCGGCGGCGCGGGGGCGGGGCCTGGCGGGCGCAGGCGCGGTGGAGCGCTGCAGCCCGGAGCCGGGAGCCGGGAGGCTGCGGCTGGGTCCGCGGCGACTGCTCGGGTAGTGGCCCCGCCGGCGGCTGGAGGTGAGCGGGGACGGCGCGGCGGGGAGCGGCTCCGAGGGGCGCCGGGACCCTCCTCACACCCACTTCCCCGGCCCAAGGAGGGCGCAGGGACTGAGGTGTCTGAAAGGACAGGGGGTTCCCTGCCTTTGGGCACCCCTGCGGTGGGCAGGAGAACCGAGGTTCCCTCCCCTGTGGAGGCCCTGATCCCTTCCGCCACTGAAGGGGCAGGCGGGGGAACTGAAGGTTATTGGAATGTCCGGAAAATTTGGGGGGGACGACTTCTTAAATGGGGTCCCAGTTTGAGAAGGTCTCCCTTTCAGTCCCTGTTCCAGGAGGGAGGTGTGCCTGTGACAGGAACGAAGCAGGTGAATCCAAACACCTTGTTAGGAGGCCAGGACGGGATGACAGTGGCAGTGCGCGGGGGACGCCTCCCTTGGATTGATCTTGTGCAGAATTCCTATTTCTTTATATGTTTGTTTTGTGACACACATCACTACACTCGCACCACCAGCACCACCCCCACTCTCACCACTCCCCCCGCATCCCCTAATCGCCTTGGCCTATTTGGTTTTCTTTGTGGTTCGTCGGAGAGATTAATTTAGAGAGATTGGTGATCGTTTAAAAAATATTAAAAATAAAAAAAAACAGGAGGGAGGCAGCTCATGGGCGGCTGTCATTACTGGCAGCCCCTGAACTATGCTGATCAGGCATAATATTATGTGTTTAGCGATGGTGGTCTCTGCCCCATAATTAGCAGCGATGTGTGTTGGGGGCTGTTATGAAGCTACATAATCTCCTGAGAAAGCCTTGCTTGTAGCTGAGTGTGTTATTCTGCCGCTTTGAACATCAAATGCACAAAGGTTTGTCATGCAAATTTTTCAAGATGTCTCCCAGCCTTCCCGGAGAGCAGCTCTTCCTCCTTTGATGCCAGTCTCACCTATCATGGATGCTCTCATGATACTAAAAATAACCGTATGATTTTTTTTCCGTTTTTTTTTCCTTCGAGTTTAGATACTTACCATCTTTGCCTCACAATAGCTGATGGAGAATAAATAATTGCATTTTCAGGACCACTGATAGCGCCACTTGTCTTTATGACCCCGCAGTGATAAGACAACCCTAAAATCAAACCTTTATTGACTCATGCAGGAGAAGCTTTCACAGAGGGGTCGATGTAGTTAATCTTGAAGGTGAAGGATGAGAAACAGAAAGCTTCCCGAGATGGAAAGCTTATTCTCTGTGGCCTGAGAAAACTGCTTTGTCATAATCAGTGTATTCCTGCCATGCTTGACTTGGTATTGAGCTTAATAAGCAAGCTGGTTTCTTCTTTCTTTTTTTTTCTTTCTTTCTTTTAAGATATTGATTATGTATTTAGATTCTGTAGTGAGAAGATGGTCTTTCTGGGGAATTCGGAAGGTTAAATCCTTTAAGGTAGTCCAAACGTTAGGGTAGGGCTGGGACTTTGGCTGTTGGAAATGCGCAATAGCTCTAGCCAGGTGAGGTGGCTCAGTTGGTTGAAACATCATCTATACACCAAAAAGGTTGTGGGTTTGATTCCCGGTCAGAACACTTACAGAGGTTTAGGGTTGGATCCCTGGTCAGGGTGAGTGGGTCTGGGAGGTAACTAATCGATGTTTTTCTCTCCTTCTCCCTTCCTCTCTCTAAAATCAATGAAAAACATGTTCTCCGGAGTGAGAATTAAAAAAAAAAATGAAAGGAAGAAAAAGAAATGAGCAGTACAGGTTAGCAAATGAGTGAGGTCTCTTCCATTTCCTGACACAAGTGGAAACCAAGATAGAGCAGTGTGGATGTCACTGCCTCCTGATATTGTGCCCAGGGTACTAAAAAGCTGTTTGGGATCCCCAGTTCCTATTTTTAATATGGATACATTCTTATGTATTGAGATGTCCTAAAATATTGTCATTTGACCCTGATGTTGACTGCAAAGGAAGAGATTTTTTATCAGGCCCTCTGTGGGCGAGGATTTTTGCAATTTCTCCTTTCCCTCTTTCTAAGGAGGATGTCAAAACAGTTGTTAAAGGCCTGTCAGCTGGGGGTGAAAGACATGAAATGCAAAACGGAAGAGCCTTACTGAGTGTTGTTTGCACTTTGCCCTCTTTCTAAGGTCATGCCATTTTCTCCTTTTGCCTCAGGTCGGAGAGAAATCCAGGTACTCCAGGTACTCGGTTGATGTACTTCTGCCGCCGCCATGGGGGAGCTTTTCCGGAGCGAGGAGATGACGCTGGCTCAGCTTTTCCTACAGTCAGAAGCTGCTTATTGTTGTGTCAGCGAGTTAGGAGAACTCGGAAAGGTCCAGTTTCGTGATGTAAGTAGTTGTGGGGCTGCTGCTTGATTACCACTGAACTGTTTGGCTTTTTATTCGCAAAAGTAACATGACAGCACGCGTACTGTTGGTACACTTTTTGGAGTTGTCTTTCTCGAGGTGAGAATGGCGTGGGCCAACCCTTGCTTGTTTTCACTGGTTCCCCTTTGAGAATAACCCTAAGCATGCTCAAGGTGATTGCTTGGGATGCAAACGGAGGACAGCAAACTAGCCTGTTCAAGGCTTCCACTTTCCGTTTGGGCTCCTTAACACCCATAGCAGGATCTTAAAAATAAGCTCATAGCTTTTCCATACAGCAGGTCATATTTATTATAAGATCTGAAGCATCCAGTTAGGGGTATATAGTATATATGTAAACATACTGAATACCTATTAAGCTGAAGCATTATGCTGGGAAGTTGGAGAAGATATCAAAAGAAAATGGACAGCCCTAGCGGGTTTAGCTCAGTGGATAAAGTGTCGCCTGTGGACTGAAGGGTCCCAGATTTGATTTGGATCAAGGGCACATGCCCATGCAGGAGGCAGCCGATGGATGATGTTTCTATTTCTCTCTCCCTCTCCCTTCCTCTGATATCAATAAAAATATATATTTTTTTTTAAAAAAGAAAAGAAAATGGATAGCCCTGGCCAGTGTGGCTCAGTTGGTTGGGGTGTCTTCCCATGTTTCAGAAGGTCCCAAGTTCGATATCAGAGGACACATACCTAGATTGCAGGGTCGATCTCTAGTGGGTCCTTATACAGGAGAACACCAATCAATGTGTTTTTCTTACATCAATGTCTCTCCCTCTCCCTCTCCCTTCCTCCCTCTCTAAAAAGAAAAAAAAAAATCAATAAAAACAAAATGAACAGTCTAAGCGTATAAAAAGTATGCCCAGCTTACAGTCTGATATTTGCTGCTGAAAGGAGGGAGGAATTAACAATTCCCTATTAGGCAACCTCAAAGCTCCATGTACCTCTCATTGACAGCATTCATTATAATTGTGATTTTATAGTCATCAGTGGGAGTAGTTGATTAAAGTCTCTATCTGCTATTCTGATCTAAGTACCATGAAGACGGAGGCAGTAATTATCTTATCCTTAGTGCCCACGTAGAAGATAATATTTGTTGGAATGGATGGATAAAGAGGAAGTAATCAGAAAGGTATAGGATTCGTCAATATTGACTTCCTGGAATTAGCAAGCTTTCAGGAAGTTCTCAGTCTGAACTGAAACTGCACAAATACAACCCAGTGATAGTCTTAGTCCTCATTTTCTTTGAACCTTTTTATACCATCTCTTTTGGAGTGTTCTTTTACCTTCCTGAGGCTCTTCCACCGGCCTCTCTTTTATCTCCTCCACCTCTGCCCTCAGTGTCAGTGTTTCCCAAGCTCCCTTCTCTGTTCTCTTGATAAGCCTGTTCACACCCACATCTTGCCTTTTTATCTCCTTTTTTCAGTGACCTCATCCATTCTCAAAATTTTCATATTTATTCAGTGAGTCCCAAATCTATATCTCTGGCCTTGACTTTTCAAATACCTTCCCTAAATATACAAATTTCTAAGATTGTTATCATCTCTGCTTCTCAAGCTAATATATGTATCTAAATCCCAACACCTTTCCTTTTCACAAACTTATTTCTTCACCCTCACTTCCTAAACTTGAGCTAATGCATTGACATTCTTCCAGTTTTTTAGACTTGAAACCTAAATCAAACCTAATTTGCAATTCTTCATCTGGTCCTATATAGTATCTCCCTTTCTATAATAATACCCATTTGGGTTAATTTGGCATTCTTAACTTTTACTTATTATGTATTTCAGTCATACAAAAAATTATGGGGAATAATATAATGAATATCTACGTGATTTATATTATCTACTAAAGGGATAAACATTCCACATATATGATAATTGAAGGTGCCTGCTCTCCTTCCTCCCTGTGTTTAATTTCTCTCCCCTCCTCCCTAGAGGTGACTTTGTATAGTGACTTTTGCTTTTACATGTGTTTTTTTTCTTTGTTTTTATTATTGTTGACAGTATTATTCCCTTATGTTTTTATTTTTTACTTTTGTTATGTATGTATGAATCACTAAGTAATATATGGTATAAGTAATTTTGTATACTTTACATTCTATCATATTGTATGTATCCTTCAGCAGATACTTTTTAAATTCAATATTCATGAAATTTGACCATGTTGGTTCAGGAGGCCCTCGTTCATTTATTTAAATTGCTATGTAATTACTGTATAAGTATATAATTTATTATTTTTTTCCTTCTAATGATTACAGTTCTTTGCTATTACAAGTTGCATTGAAGAGTCTTATCTATGTCTCCTGGTGTGCATCTTTTATAGTTTCTCCAGGGCAGTGGTTCTCAAACATTTTGATCTAAAGACTTCTTTACACTCTTAAATTAAATAAAATTGAGAACCCTAACAAGCTTTTATGTGTTACAACTATTCATACTTATAAAACTGAGAAATGTTTTAAATATTTATGAACTCATTTAAAAATTATAAATCCACTACATTATAATAGCATATTCCTGAAAAATAGCTGCATTTAAAAAAAAAAAAAAAAGAAGAAAGAAAGAAAAAGAAAAGAAAAGAAGAGAATGATATTGCTTTTACATTAAAAAAAATATTTTAGTGTTTGAATTAGTCTAAGATAGCTGGCTTCTCATTTGCTTCTACAGTTGGTATGCTGTGATGTATGTCATGAGACTCTGGAAAACTTCACTGAAACACTCATGAGACAATGAGAATGAAAAAGGCAAATAATGTCTTACTGTTACTGCGAAAACAGTACTGATCACATGGATCTGCTGCTCCTCCAGGGATTATAAGTAGGAGGGGCATTGCTGAGTGTGGTGTGCATCTCTCGCTGGAGGATGTCAAAGTGCACTGCACAGCGCATGTGCCTGGTCATGCTCCCATGGCTGGCTGAGAGATCCTGCCATGCCAAGTGTCAGGAACAATGTCAGCACTTCTGTGCTCAAATAAATTTTCCAATCCATGGGTGCGAAGTGGTATCTTATTGTTGTTTTCTTTTGCATTTTCTATATTAGTACATTTAATATCTTTTTATCTGTTTATTGGACATAATAGGTTTCATTTTCCATGAGTGTCTGTCTGTCCATATCACCTGCCTGTTTACTATTGGGGTCGCTGGCCTTTTGCTTGTTAACTTGTGGGATCTGTAAAAGTTCTTCATGTCTTCTGGAATCTAATCTTTTTCTACTCCTTTACTGATAAATTCTTCTAGGCTGCCGCTTATCTTTTCCCTTCATTTATGGTATATTTTGTCATACAAAAAGTTTATTTTTCTTTTTTTGCTTATTGGTGTTTTTTTCTAAATTTCTTTGAAAATTTCAAGCCTGAATACTCCTATGTTGATTTACCAGTTGTTAACATTTTGTCACATTTGATTTAATCTTTTTACTGTACCATTAGAGAGTAAGCTCTTTTTTTCTTTTCAAATCCTTATCCTTTTCTTTCTTTTTCTCATTTCACCATACACATTGGGACCTTGAGTAACATGCTGAAGAAGAGAAACAGCAAGCTAATACTGGTTAGGATTGTGCTTAGCTGAGTGTAACAAAAAGCCCAGATGATAGGGGTGTACTTTTCTCATGTAACATGAAGCCCAGCTCCATGCTGTCATCATTCTGTATCTGTTTGACCATCCTTGAACATTTGGCTTTTGTACTTACAGATAACCCCCATAGCTCCAGGCATAGCATTGGAAGAAGTGCAAGGGGAAGTACATATTTCTTTCCCAGAAATTCTCAGCAGACTTTTAAATTTTATTATTGGTGTCAGGATTATGGCATACACTAGCTGCAAGGGAGTCTGGGAAATGTGTTTTGTTTTTTTTTTAACTGAGCATTTGCTGCCCTGAAGATAATTGGAGTTTTTGTTACTAAGGAAAGAGGGCAAAATGCTAAGTATCCATTAAATGGCATTCTTGTCTTGCTCCTGACTTTAAGGGGAATCTTTTTAATGTTTCACAATTTTTAAAAATCCTTACCTGAGGGCATGCTTTTAATGATTTTAGAGAGAGAAACATTGATGTGAGAATGAAACATCAATCAGTTGCCTCTGCATGCGCCCCCACCAGGGATCAAACCCACAACCTGGGTATGTGTCCTGACGAGGAATCAAACCCGAGACCTTTCGGTGTACTGGGCAATGCTACAACCAAGTGAGCCACAACCAACTGAGCCACCCCAGCCAGCGCTAATGTTTCACAATTTAATAAGATGTTTACTCTTACATTTTTGGAAAATTCTATTAATTAGATTATGCATATTCCTTCAATTTCTGATTTTCTAAAATTATTGTTACAAATGGTTGTAGAATTTTATCGAATGCCTTTTTATCTATTGGTGTCACTGTTTGTTTTTTTCTCTTCAATCTATTAATTTGGTGAATTGCATGTCCAGCTTATTGTCTTAATATTTTTAAACAGCTTTACTGAGATATAATTCACATACCATATTACTTGTTCATTTAAAGTGTATAATCCAGTGATTTTTAGTATATCCACAGAATTGTACAACCATCACCACAATGAATCTTAGGACATTTTCATTACTCTAACAAGAAACCTTGCACGCCATTAGCAATCACTCCCCAACTCTGCCCTCCACAGCCCCTGGCAACCACTAATCTACTTTCTGTTTCTGTGGATTTGCCTATCTGGATATTTCATGTGACTAAAATTATACAACATATCTTTTAGGACTGGCTTCTTTCAGTAGCAAATGTTTTCAAGATCCATCTGTGTTGTAACATGTATCTGTATTTTGTCTTTTTGCATCTTTTTCTTTTATATGAAAATGTGCAACATATTAAAATGAGTGGTTTCAGCTGGGACCGGTTTGGCTCAGTGGATAGAGGGTCGGCCTGCTGACTGAAAGGTCCCGGGTTCGGTTCCGTCAAGGGCATGTACCTTGGTTGCGGGCACATCCCCAGTAAGGGGTGTGCAAGAGGCAGCTGATTGATGATTTTCTCTCGTCGATGTTTCTAACTCTCTATCCCTCTCTCTTCCTCTCTGTGAAAAATCAATAATATATATTTTTTTAAAAAATGAGTGGTTTCAGTATAAGAAGTAGTTGATATATTCTGTCTATTCTGTAAAAGATGCCACTCTGGGTCTTAGAGAGCCAACTGAGCAAGACATGTTCCCTCACTCAACTTGTTCAAAATTTTGTATGTTATCTCTTCTATTCCTTCTCTTTTTCATACTCTTTCCTATTCTTCAGTCCCTTATTGTCTAACACAATCATAATGTTAATTTACATTTTTAATAGATACCATGTTGAGCATTTTGTGTTATTATTGCATGCATTTCTCACAGCAACTCTGCAAAGAAGAACCTGCCTTTGGTTCGTGGAGCCTATCATTCTCATTTTACAGAATAGGAACCTGAGGCATAGATGGAAATAAATACTGAAGGACATACAGATTAGTGCCCAGGATTGTCTGATTCCTCCGCCTGTGTTCTTTTTAATTGAGATATACCAAAAAAGTCACCTTTTTACAGTATATGATTCAATGGTTTTTAGTGTATTCACAAAACCATCATCACTGTCTAATTCCAGAATATTTCATTACCCCCAAAAGAAACCTTGTACCCATTAGAAGTCACTCCTTTTCTCCCTAGCCCTGGGCAACCACTTAATCTGCCTTTTTCTGTGAATTTCCCTATTCTGGACATTATATAGGGTGTGACAAAAGTAGGTTTACAGTTGTTTAAATGGAAAATAATACAATAATTAATAAATAATAATATAAGAATAAACTGTTTCATGTACTCACAACTGTAAACTGACTTTGTCCCACCCTGGATATAATGGAATCATCCAATGTGTAGTTTGTTTTTCCTTCATCAATTGAACTGGACTTTTTCAGTTGCTTAGAAAAATGAAAATCACTTCTCATTATATTAAATAAAAAATAATTATAACACTTTCATGGCAAACATGATTGCTGTTTTACTCTTTCAAATGTGAGCATTTGGAATTAGTCATATCACCATTAAAACCAGCAATGTAGAAACAAACAAAATATCATTTTGATCTCTTTTTTGAGTCATGAATTACTTTAGAACTATTTAGAATTTCCAAATATGATAAATTGTATTATGTGAATTTCTAATTAAATTGCATTGTAATCAAATAACATTGTCAGTATAGTGATAGTTTTTTACTGAGACTTGCTGTATGACCTATTTTGTGGTCAGTTTTACAAATGAGTTATTAAAGAGAAAACTGTTGGATGAAGGGAGTAGATGTATACATGTCTCTGTGTGTATGTATTAGATTATATATTGTTCAAATTTTCTCTATCCTTATTTAGTAGATTTGATGTATCAGTAGTATAAAAGCTACACTAAAATTTCCCACTACATAGACAGGCTTGTCAGTTTCTCCTTGCACTTCTGTTCATTTTTGTTTGAAATATTTTTAGGAAATATTTTAAGGGTGGCCGTAGTTGAACTTTGCCTTTGATTATGAAACCAGTAGTTCACTTAATGTTTATTGAAGTGGAAATTTCTGAATGAGAAGCCGAAGTACTGCCTGCTTGGTGAAAAACAAACAATTCATTAGGGACGTACAAGTTTAGAATTGTGCCTCTTCATGGGAATTATTCTTATTATCATATGTAGCATTTTCCTTAATCTCTAGTAATGCTTTTTGCTATAGATTCCTTCTAATATTAATATAATAATACCAATAATTTCCTTACTAGTTTCTCTGTCTTTACACTTATTCTTCACATACACTATTATTCTTCAAAACAGTAAAATTTTTAAAAGTATATTTAAAAAGTCAGATCATTTATATATGTATTCTTATATATTTATTGATTTTATGGAGAGAGGAAGGGAAAGAGATAGAGAAATAGAAACATTGATGGAAGAGAAACCTCAATCATGCTTCCTTCATGCCCCCTATTGGGGATCGAGCCCACAACCTGGGCATGTGTCAAACCCATGACCCCTTGGTTCAACCACTGAGCCACACCAGCTGGACATGTCATGGTCTTCCTCTTTTCATCCTGTATATTTCTGCTTGGTGAACTTTGCTTTATCCGCCATCGTCCCAGTTCAGGGGGTTACCTTTGCACATTTTTTTCCTTTATCTCCAAGTAGAACTAGTGTTCTTCCCTACACACACACATCTTTTTTATGGAGGTAATATTTGTATTCAGTGAAATGCAAAGACCTTAAGAGTACAGGTTGATGATGTTGGTAAATTTATACCTTTTGTAAGTACCACCCCCGGCAAGGCAGAATATTTGCAGCAGCCTGGAAAGTGACCTTGTGCTCATTTCTAGTCAACCCCCACCCTCCCTTAGAGCATCATCGATTAGTTTCACCTATTCTTGAACTTAATGTAGATGGAGTCATACTTTCAAACTCTTAGGTCTTACTTTTTTTTCTCAGCCTAATGTTTCTTAGATTTATCTGGTTTTGTGGGTAGCCTTAAGTGATTCTTTTTTACTGCTGAGTAATATTCCATTGTATGAATATACCACAATGTTTTTATCCATTCTTCTATTGATGGATGTTAGGATCATTGCTAGTTTGGAAGTATTATGAATAAAACTGCTATGAACATTCTTGTATAGTCTCTGTCAATGTGTTTTCATTTTCTTACACAAATACCTAGTAGTAGATGCTCAGACATGTGGTGGGTAGGTATGTTTAATTGTATAAGAAACTACCAACAATATTTTACTTACTTTTTAATAGCATTTGTCACAACAAAGTGAATTAATTGTGCATGAAACAGAGCTCCTAAAAGTTAGGACATTTTTTATTCTTTATATTTACATAAGTGCCTGATACATTGTATGGTACATATTTGGTGCTTGCTCCATAAACATTGAAAACATCACTGTAATATTTCTTTATTTGTATTACTTTTATGGAATTTGTCACATGCTACCTTATTGGTTATGTTCATGTTTTCTCTCTACTATATTGCAAGTTTTTTAATGAGTAGGAACTTGTTTTATTCTTGTTTATGTTTCACATTGCTTTGAAAATTACTTGAATGAATGTAATTACTTGAATAAATGCCTGCCACTTAAAAGGTGAAGAACCTGGAAAAGAAGAACTAGAGAAGTTTGCCTTCTGTTTCTTCTGATTGGGAAGAAAGAGGGAAAACCGGCAGAGCAGCTATTACATTAGTGGGCCCGATATTTGGTGGTGGTGGAGGAGGGGGTTCATTTAGACTTTTGGGCTAGGAAGAACATTTTGTACTCTGTGTAATTTGCTTCCATTTCAATATGTTGCAGAGCAAGGAAGCGTTTTTTATCTTTAGTTGGTGCATCTGGCTCCAAAGTGGGTCAGTAGACAGTTTTTATTAGTGTTGCATCATGCACTGACACAAAACCATGCTTTCACCTTGCAGGATATGCTGCTTGTGAAACAGAGGAAGTAGATGCAGTGTTTGAATATTTGGTATTGTGTTCTTATTTTGCAGTTAAATCCAGATGTGAATGTTTTCCAGCGGAAATTTGTCAATGAAGTTAGAAGATGTGAAGAAATGGATCGAAAGCTTCGTATGTGCATTTTGGTCTTGATGTTCCTATAATGAGTCATTTATTTTAAATTAGAGACACCAGTGCTCTTAATAAAGAGAGGAAATTCTACAGGAGAAAAAGAAAGGAGAAAAAATCTTGTGATCCTGATGTTAAGATGAATTTCTATTATAGTATACAAGTAGATTTTGTGGTGTTTGGACCAGGTGGTGCTTAATGGAAACCTTGTGTGAGATGACGAGGCTATAAACTGAAAACACGGCTTTTTGAGTGTATGTGTGAGAAGGGTTTTATAGCAGAATTACATAATAGAATTCCGAAAGATGGAACCCAGACCACCATTAATTTTAGATGTCATCATAGCCACCTTTTAATCTACGCTGTTTAAGTACGAGGGAAGAAACTAACAGTTAAGGCTCTATTGAGAATTAGGATGTTCATATGCTTTCTTTCATTCATTTCCTACAACATCCCTTCAAAATGGGCATTCACCTCATTTAATAAGTGAGGAAACCAAAGATCAGAGAGGTTAAGTGACATCTACCAAGAATGTAAGTGGCTATGATGGAATCAGTATTTGAATTCAGGTGGTTCTGTCTGGCTCTAAAACCCAAGGTCTTGCTATTATACTATGCCAGCTCTCAATTAGCTGATAGGTGAATTTGGTCCCCATCCTAAAAAAAAGTCAGTAGTTATCACCTGAAACACTTTTCTCTTCTGGTGTCTTGGAGCCTTATTCTGCCTCTTGGTTCTTATTTGTTTTGTTTCATTTAAATGTAATGATATCCTTTGACCTGGAGTTGTCTCATAACCATGTTTCCCCGAAAATAAGACATCCTCCGAAAATAAGACCTACTTACAGGTTTCCTTCTAAGTGAAATATAAGGCATCCCCCTGAAAATAAGGCCCCCCCTAGGCTAAACATGAGAGATTTGGTCCACTGATTCTGAAAGAAATGGAGTCACAAGAAATTCACCAGGAAATTCAGGAATTGGATTGTTATGATGATGTTCCAAAAGATGATGACGTGATTGTTATTGAATAAATGAGTAAGTTCTTGATACTGTAGGATTCACAGTTTATCTGGTTTGTGTTGACAACTACCGTACTACCGTACTGTATACAGGTAATAAATTTCCTTTATTTTCATTTAACAATAAATGTGTACCGTATTCGTCTTCATGGAAAAATAAGACATCCCCTGAAAATAAGACCTAGCGCATCTTTGGGAGCAAAAATTAATATAAGACACTGTCTTATTTTCGGGGAAACAGGGTAGTGTGTCAGTTGTCAAACAGTCTATTGAATTGGCTCCTCCGTAGCTCTGCTCTGCCCGCAGTACTTGTGATGAGGCAGCAGTCACGGGGGTTGCAGAGCTGAAGCAGATTGGCCTAGTTTGAAGACCAGAAGAGGAAATGAGGACAATAGGGGGATGATAACCCTCTTTGGGGTAGCTGTGCTTTAGAGATTGTGGGATAGGGAGATGAGGAATATAGAGGAAAGGGATTTACATGTTCTGCTTCTTTTGTGTGAAAGTATCCTTCTTAGAATGAAGCTTTTTAGCCAGCATCTATTCTCTCCCCCAAGCCCCACCTCGAATGTTGGCAATTCCAGGCATATGCTCTACACGAATGTTTTGATTCTGTCGTTTTAGGATTTGTTGAGAAAGAGATAAGAAAAGCTAACATCCCAATTATGGACACTGGTGAAAATCCAGAGGTGCCCTTCCCCCGAGACATGATTGACTTAGAGGTAAACAATTCTGATAATGCCAGATAAGTGTCTTGCTGTTTAAATGTAGACATTTCTGAATGGATAAAGAGTAGAGTAATTCTAGCTGTCTTTGTCAGCATTATTTATTGATTATAAGTTTCTTATAGCTGTAATTAAAATGAAGTTTCCTTTTTATGGTATAGAACAGCATGTTGAACAGTATCATGTGCCTCTAAATAAATGCTTTTTGGTTTATTGAAACCATGTTGAATTAATGCCAATTTACCAAGTAATTTATTAATGTCATTTACTAAATAAATGAATAGCAGTGGATTTCAATATTTATTTTATCCATCTGAAGTCTCCTGAGAACTCAACCAAGGGTATAATAGATAATATAAACAAAGGCGATTTTAAATAAAATGTTAATGAAGGAAATTGCCCCGGTAAAATCACATATTTGCAGGGTAGATATAAGATATCTGTCATAGTAGCTAGAGTTCTGTTGAATGATGAATTCCTGTCTTTCAGAGCAAGCTCCTTGAGCTTCGCTTGAGTTAATAGTTTGATTTTTTTCTTTTTCTGTAGGCTAACTTTGAGAAGATTGAAAATGAACTGAAGGAAATCAACACCAACCAGGAAGCTCTGAAGAGAAACTTCCTGGAACTGACTGAATTAAAATTTATACTTCGCAAAACTCAGCAGTTTTTCGATGAGGTCAGACTATTATTTCTTTTAGTATTTGAGCAGCTGATGATGCTACACCTGCACAAATGGGCCATATTTTTATTCCAGTAATTATTTTAATTTGCTAGTTTGAAAGCAATACCATTTTCACATTTTAGTTGAAGAAATGTCAGATTATGTTCCATTTTTCATGTAGTACATAGCCAGACATACTTTTGTGTATTTTTGCATTTTCTATAATTTTTCATCTCAAGATGGGGAAAGGAACCCTAAAGTAGTTGTATTAACATAGTTAGTTAAAATTTTCACATTATATTTTAAGGTAAGTAAATGTTCAAGGTTAAAGTCTAAGCAACAAGAAACATTCGGTTACATGTGAAATTATAACGAAGGTTTAATCTCCAAACCTTTTGTCATCAAATTTTAATTTTATTTCTATGTTTGCCCATCAATCTTTAAACACACTTTTTCCTACTTTAGATAGCACATATCACACTTTAATTTTTAAGTGTTTTTTTTTTTTTTTTTTTTTTAATACTATATGGAAATATTGGTAGGATGCTTGTTTGGAATCCCTGGATTCTCATATAAACTCAACTGCATTACCAGACAGGGAGAAATGTTAATAAATTCCTGGATTAAAAACGTAGGTGACTAAGTTGCTAACAGCTTGCTGAGGTGACCCCATGGAAAGGATTTGGAGCGAGGCTTTCCAAAAGCTTCCTTCTCCTAATTAAAACTGGGTAGGAGTCTTAGCTTTCACCCTGGTCATGATTTTTCTGTTGGCTTAAAATGTGGGTAATTCTCTCTCTTTTAATTTAATATTTTTATTAATTTTTAGAGAGAGAGGGAGGGAGAGAGAGAGAAAGAGAAAAATTAATGTGAGAGCGAAACGTTCATTGGCTGCCATTGGCTGCCTCCTGCACACCCGACCAGAGATCAAGCCTGAAACTGGGCATGTGCCCTCACCAGAAATTGAACTGGCACTGGGACAATGCCCAACCATCTGAGCCACACTGGCCAGGCTGGATAAGTCTCTTTTTTTTACAGGTGTTTTTGCCACCTGCTTAGCAACATACGACACTTCAGAGCTTGTTCTAGTCACTGTTCATTGTGCCTTCCCATAAAGTTCTTTATTTCCTTTGCTCAAAACAAGTTTTTTATGTGGCAAAACTTTTAAAAAATAGAAGGCCTTGTTCTTAGATCCACTTTTAATTTCTGTGTTTTGGTGAAAGAACAACTTCCCACTGTTCTTACACTAGAATAGGGGTTCTCCAACCAGCAGCAGCCTTGCCTGGGAACTTGTCAGAATGCAAATGACCCGGCTGAGAGTGGGCGAAGCCATCGGCAGTCATAAGGTCATCGGGAGGCGGGCTAGTTTGAGAACCACTGGGCTAGAGAAAGTCAGCTGAAGATGTGATACATTCCTCAAAAGCTAAGGCTTGGACTTAGAAAAGCCATCCTAATTAAAAAGAGCTGCTGGGGCGAGGGAAAGGGGGGAAGACCTTATGAATTTAACTGCCTGGTCCCCCTCAGGATTAGAATCTGGCAGTATTTACCAAGAGAGGTTTAGTGTGAACATTCAGCTTGCTCACTGAGCTGAGAATTTGAGACCACTGGTAACTTCTTTCACTAGTCCGCAAATATCGTCACCTCAGAGGGTGTGGGGCAGTGTGATTAACTCTTTACAAGTGTTTCAGGGCTTTTGCAACAGGCATGATCATTTAGGCATATGGTTTTAATGAACAAGTAATCTGGAATTCCAGGATGCTCACTGCCCATACATTGTATTTATCTTCATTAATTCACTGAACGTTTGATAAACCACCCACTCTGTGTGAGGCATAAGGTGAGTAAGACACGGTCCCTATGCTCAAGGAGTGTGTCCGTAGGTATGGGGAAACATCCCGAACACAGTGCTCCAGTGCTCCCAGATGTGTGCTTTTCTACATGTGCTCAAGCTGCTGCCCACAGAGGCCATGTAAACCTGGTCTCAGGATCAAAGCTCAGCTACTTGGAGCATCATTTAGGACTTAATTTCTCCCCCCCCCCTTCTCTTTTTTCCTTTTGTTATAGTCTTTTGTTTACTGCTCAGATGTTGCTGAGAAGTATGAAAATGTCTTTCATAACCTCCCGAATTTAAGAATTGAAATGGGCTTCTAAGTCTCGTTCATTCTGGGAGAAATTCTGAATAAAGATTGACAAATGGACTCCCTTAAGGGAAATAGTCATTTAAACTTTAATGTTATAATTTTTAAAAATAGTAAAAATATAAAAAGGAACCACTTAGAAAAATGACATAAGATTTAAAAATCATAAGTTATGGATTTTGAAATTTTCTTTGTGCTTAATAAGTCTAAACATGACATGCCCATGCTGAGAAAGCAGGCTCAAAGCTTCATGCCCAATCTATGGTGGGTTGTTCACTTTTGAACACAAGGCCTTGACTATGAGAGGTTCTTCCACTGCTTTTGCTATCAGTCCCTCCCACTCTTAGCACCCTCACCACCGTGCAGGAAACCCAGCGAGAACCACTCTGCCTTTTCTCTCCAACTACACAGTCAGTGCCCTGCCTGCTCTTGCCACCAGCTTGTAACCTCAGCCAGGTCCCTTTCAATAGCCCTTGCCCTGCTGTCACTAAACAGCAACCTCAGACGTCCAGGCCCTGACAGGAAACCAGACCTCACAGAGTAAGCGCATGCGCACGTGGGAGGACACACTTTAAAGTATGCAAAAGATAAGAAAACTTGAGACCCTCAAATCTTGAAAACAGATTTTTTTTCATGAGATTTTCTTCCATGCCTAAGGTTTGCAAATGGCCTAAAACACTACCAATTTCAAAGCCTTCTTTTTGGTGAATAAGATTAATAATTTATAATAATGAGTTAGCAGAAAATGGCTAAATCAGAGAATGATTCTTTCCATCTTTTGATGTAGGGGTTCTGATTGGTGAGGGGTGTGGAAGGGGAAAGGTAAACACATTAAGTATTCTTATGATTTAAGATGATTACAAATTTGACTTAGCCATTTCTTATCCAGAGCATTTAAAATGACTTGTTAATGATTATCCTTTTCTCAGTCTTCTTGCTTATGAAGAACTGTAAGAGCTGGAGAGATTTCTCTGCATCTTTACCATAAGCACCATAACATATGAGAGCGTAAAGAAGACTGGAAAAGTAATGGTTAATGGCATGCAGATCCCTGCCTTCTTTCCCTTCTGAGTTTTCCATTCATCTGCTTTCTTTACTTTTCTTTCCCATCTGCCATCTCCTTTGGGGTTTGGGTGAATACCTTAGGTGATGAGGTGTAATCTCTCTCTCTCTCTCTTTCTCTCTGTCTCTCTATCTCTATCTCTCTCTTTTTCTCTCCATCTCTCTTTTTAAGATTTTTAAAACTGATTTTTAGAGAGAAGGAAGTATAATTCCTTTCTTAACATAGATGGAAGTAAAAGTGTTTGCTCTTAGTAATTAACGTAGCTTGAACTGGATTTGTGCTGCTTATACTTAAGAGTAGAAATAGACCTACTGAAGCTCTGCTCCTTCCTTTTTCAAGGCATGGGTTCAGTGTTCTGACTGGGGCACAGGATAAACAGAGGGCATAGCAAATCTCATGACAATATTTCTAGAACTTAGAGGAACATTGGCAATGTCGTTATTGTTACTAGAGAACCCAGTTAGGATTTTGCTACTCGGCGACATGGTTTTAGAGATTGCTTAAAGGCCTTCAGTTAGTGTTTCTGGTCATCCTATTTTCTCATGAGGCACAATTATTTTATTTAAAAACCTTTTACTTTCCTCTCTAAGACTTAGGACTTTTTTCCCATTTTTTTTAGCCATCACCTGAGGATATGTGTGTTTATTATTTATTTTTTTATTTTGTTTATTTTAGATAGAGAAAGAGAGAAACATTGATTGGTTGCCTCCTGTGTGCACCCTGACCAGGGACCAAACCCATAATCTAGGTATATGCCCTGACTGGGAGTTGCACCCGCAACCTTTTGGTACGTGGGACGATGCTCCAACCAACGGGGCCGCGTGGACAGGGCGAGACTTGGGATTCATGAGTGTGAAGTAGGAATTATGAATTAGAAGATTATTGCAAGTTTCTGTTTAATTTTAATTCTGTTTGTTTGTTTTTTATACCAAGAGTCCCAGATACAGTCTTTGGGGTAGTTTAATTGCTGTTTCATCTTTGTCCCCTTAGAGCACATGCTTGCTTTGAGTCTGATCTTTAGGGTTTATTTAAACCAAGTCTCATGAACCGCACAGGGAAGTAGGCAGGAATCTTGTGAGTAGCAGTAAGTTTCACTGGTTTTTGCCAAGGGATATCCCAAGAGCACGTTGAAATGTGGAAGTCACCTGGATCCTCAAAATTAAATTGCCTGTAGCTTGGAGTGAGCTGGTTTGACCTTTCGTAGAAACAAGAAGAACCTCTAACTTCCCTTTGACAGCAGGTGGTAACCTGTGGCCCATTATCTCATCTTAAGCTTTTCCAAATCTCATGATAATATTTCTAGAACTGCCCTTCCCTTTTTTTTTTTTTTTTTTTTTTTAAATATTTTATTGATATTTTACAGAGAGGAGGAAGGGAGAGAGATAGGGAGCTAGAAACGTCAATGAGAGAGAAACATCGACCAGTTGCCTCTTGCACACCCCCCACCGGGGATGTGCCTGCAACCAATGTACGTGCCCTTGACCGGAATCGAACCTGGGACCCTTCAGTCCGCAGACCGACGCTTTATCACTGAGCCAAACCGGTTTCGGCTGCCCTTCCCTTTAAAAAAAAAAAAAAAAAAAATCAAAGTTGATCCTGTTTTTAAAATTTACTTTCCAAAGCAATTGCCTTCACATATTAATGCTTTCAGACTTACATTTGAAGTTCCCATGAGGTTGTTGTTGTTTTTTTTATAATGGGTTGACAGGAGTAGAATTTTGAAATTTGGAATGAAAATGATGGAGAAAATTTTTACTGATTTTTTATTTGCTTGATTACAGAAGAAGTGCATGGATATTAAAGTTGGAGAGTTCAGGCCGTGGAGAAATCAACTGGCCTTTATTTTTAGGGCAGCTTCCTTCCTGGTGGGAGTAAAAGGTGGTAGATAAGAGTGTTGTGTAAAGAGAGGCTAGGAAATATAGACCTAGCACATCTGAAAAGGTCCCTTTCCTCCTGCATTTCATTGTATAAACTGTCATGGTGGAAATCATTTTAAATCTAAATTATACTAGCCCACACACTGTATATTGGCTTAACACTGTATATTGCTGCTCTCTTCACTTGTTCAGATTATCGGATTAGCTATGTTCTCAAGAATCCTGCAACTGTAAAGCCTACATGAACATTTTACTTATTTATTTATTTTTTAAAATATATTTTATTGATTTTTTACAGAGAGAAAGGGAGAGGAATAGAGAGCTAGAAACATTGATAAGAGAGTCATCAATCAGCTGCCTCTTGCACGCCTCCCACTGGGGATGTGCCCGCAACCAATGTACATGCCCTTGACTGGAATCGAACCCAGGACCCTTCAGTCCGCAGGCCGACGCTCTATCCACTGAGCCAAATCAGATTCAGCATACACGAACATTTTAATATTCCTAGATTCCTGCTCAAAAGCTAGGACATTCTGATATGTTTTCACTTTTTTCCCTCTTTATGGATGCGGTGGAGGGAAGGAAAGTAAAGGCCTGTCCAGCTATTGTGCTTATCCTTTTGGAGAAAGAAGCACTGTATATCCCATGGAGTACTTTCTACAGTGGCTGAAAGTCCTTATATTCTGCATTTTTAAGAGCACAGAAAACCTATGTACCTGGGGATGCCTCTTCTGCCTTTCTCCAGATCACACACTGTGTGTAAGACAGTGACGATGCCTTGCTTTCTTCCTTGGAAAGAGAGTCTCCATCTTTCACATTCTCACACAGGGAAAATTCTAGTTTGTAATTGCCTGGAAATTGGATGTTGAGAGTTTCTGCTGAGCTGCCTCCTTTTTGCTCAAAAGGAAGAAACACTTCAGCTTCTATCCACATGAAAAGGTATTTCCTGGTACTTTGATGGCTCATTTAGGAAAACATAAGAGAAAAAATGGCTTCCACCAAGTAAGATTTATACATGCCACCATCATTTAATGTTTTCTTTTGTTTTGTTTTTTATTCCTTATTTCTTAAACCATTTCTCCAGATGATTTACTGGGGCAATTATGCTTTCTTTACCTCTTATTTCTTTTCTTTGTTTTCTTTCCTTCTCCTTCTTTTTGTGGGTACATCTTCTCTTTTGGTGGTTTGTTTCTCATCTTTATTTTCTGAACTTATCTCCTGGTTCCTCGTTCCCTGCATGCCACTAACTATTTTCATTAGATATTAATTGATTTGTGAATTCAGGCTGAATTGCATCATCAGCAGATGGCGGATCCAGACCTGTTGGAAGAGTCCTCATCCCTCTTGGAGCCAAATGAGATAGGAAGAGGCACACCTTTAAGACTTGGGTAAGTACCACTTCAACCCTCCATACGCAGTGGGGTCAAGTTCATTTTTACTGTTCAGAAGAGCAAAAGGTTGGCCTTTACTTGCTTCCAGAATGCACTCTCCCCTGAGCCTGTTGAGAGGTGTTCCTCAGTTGATTTGGATTGGGTTCTCCCACCTCTCTTCTGGGACCCCACGTAAAACTTCAATCTTTTTGACATAACAGTGTGTAATCGTGTTTGTCATCCTCGTACCGCTCCTCACTTCCTTCTTTGTCTTAGAGCCTTCCATCCCATGGCGTGGAATAGATTTCCCAACCTGGCTCTTCTTCCCACAGCTTCGTGGCTGGTGTGATTAACCGGGAGCGCATCCCTACTTTTGAGCGCATGCTTTGGCGGGTGTGCCGGGGGAATGTGTTCCTGCGACAGGCTGAAATCGAGAACCCTCTGGAGGATCCTGTGACTGTAAGACGAGGGAATTATGGCCCATGGACTAGGTCTTGTAAAGGGAGTTCAGGGCAGTAGCACAGCCTGCTGCCACCTGACTCTGAACCTCCCACAAAGGAGCCCTTATGTTTATCCCTGCTTTGATCTGGGAATTTGAAAGACGGCTCTTTTCCTCTTAACTTCCATCATTTGTGTACATATGATGCATATGTGACATATATATGTACATTTTAAAGCTATGCTTGTGCATTATTTTGAATGTAAACATGTTTTCCCCCCAGTTATTTTAACCTTTACCTTTATATGTTTTGTGTTACTTATCTGGGGACCAACAAAAAAGTAACTTTCTGTGTAGTTAAAGTAAGACATCTGGTTCCAAGTTTGGTAATATCAATATATAAAAAGGAGAGTTCCTAGATTGTGACCTCTGTAAATTGATGAAATGTAGTTGGTAAGGTTTCTGTTGTCTACCTGTTTGTGGTAGGATGATCTTCCCATCCAGTACTCTGGAAAGTGGGAATAGCTTAACGTCTTAGCATTTGACATAATGGACAGAGCTCTTAACATAAACCTATATTAAGAATGGTGATTTCTGACTTCAGGGATCACAAGCAAAGAAGATTTAATGTTCTACAAAAAAAAAAAAAAATTTCACTTTTGTATTAGTATCATTTAGAAGCCTGAAGTTGTTTTTTGTTGTTGTTCTAAATTGTCTTTTGGATTTCTTAAATCAGTATTCTTTGCCCTACCTAAGAAGAGAAGTTGAATTGGGAGACTTCTCAGGGTGGGTGGGTCCTGCAGCTAAAAATAATCCAGCGACAATAGATGACTTCTGTCCTCAGCATTGAGTAGGAGCATGGTGACACAGGTTACGGTGAGTCCCGCACCCAGAGGAGCAGTCTTACAGTCTTACTGAAGGCTGGCCTTGGGCTGTGAAGACACTGTGGTATGAGTGGACCTGTTCTCAGGAATGTGCAGCCAGGTGTCTGGGCAGCAGAAACCATTTTATCAACAAATTGAGGAAAGGGTGCCCGGGATCTCGTAGCTACAGCAGAGCAGCTGCACCAAGAATGTGCACCAGTTTATGGGTATTTCTAGAGGATTTAGGAATTTAAGTCTTAAGCCTTATCTCCTTCACTCGTCATCCCCTTTTATCTTATAACGTTTTGTTTTCTTATTCTACAAACTCCATAGGAATATGAGAAAATAGAGACAATCTTGGTTAACACCAAGTATAGCTGGTTTTTCTCATCTTTCCTTCCAGACTTCAAGTGTAAACTTGGTATTTGGAATGAGTTACATTTCGCCTTGCCCCCTAAAGTCTAAATCGGAATGGATCATGAAATCCTACATCAACACTCTCCCCAACTACTCCGTTTCTTATAGTTATCCAGGTCTCTTTATCTGGGAATTTCTAAGCATGGGAGCAGACAGGAATGTCTTTCTTCTCTTTCTCTGTACTTATGGCTTTCAGGCGATAGAAGATTTAAAGTAGAATTAGTAAATAGGGTGAAGTTATATATTATACTAAGGGAAGAATCATCTTAGAATCTGTGTCAAGCCCCTGGTTGAGTTTAAAAACAAATACAGGAAGTTTTTTGTGACTTGGTAGTTACAGGGCAAATGTTCTTGTAGTGGAGCTTAAGAAATGGATGGAAGGTAGTGGTTCAAGTACAGGATTGTCATATCCTCAACGGATTTTTGTTGTTCCTGTATCACCAGGAAAGTAAGTTATTTAAGAGCGTTTTTTCTGGGTTACAAGTCTGAAGTCTTGGTTTTCGGTTTGGGGCCTAGGGCGACTACGTGCACAAGTCTGTGTTCATCATTTTCTTCCAAGGGGATCAGCTGAAAAACAGAGTCAAGAAAATCTGCGAAGGGTAAGAGAGAAATGCCTCCCCTAAGGGTGCAGGCTAATTCTTCTAAGTCTTATAGACTATAGAATGGTGAAACACAAACCTTACTATAGTTTCACATGGTGAAAACATCTTTTAATAAGGTTGGGTTATTTTAAACAACTAGGAGTGGCCCAAGTTCAGTTTTTGAAGAGCTGTCAAAACCACAATTTCCACCCAGGCCACTGTGGCTCAGTTGTTTGAGCGTCATCTTGTGCACTAAAAGGTCATAGTTTCAATTCCCAATTAGGGCACATATCCAGGTTGCGAGTTTGATCACAACCAATGGATGTTTCTCTCTTACATCGATGTTGCTCTCTTCTTCTTCCTCTTCCTCTTCCTCTTCCTCTTCCTCTTCCTCTCTCTTCCTCTCTCTCTCTCTCAGAAATCAATACATGTATTTTTTAAAAACACATGACACAATTTCCTTTTCTTGGAAAAAAGTAATTAGGATTCATGATTTATAAATGTTTCATTGTTCTGGGACAGTGGTTCTGCATACCCAGCAGTGTGCCACAGGCACCATGCCCTTAAACTTTTCTGAAATTCTGCCCGTAAGATCTTTCTTCAGTGCCATTTTTCTAATATAAATTGTATTACTGTTTTTTTGTTTGTTTTAAATATCTTGATTGATTTCAGAGAGGAAGGAAGAGGGGGAGAGAGAGATAGAAACATCAATGATGAGAGTCATTAATTGGCTGTCTCCTACATGCCCCCTACTGGGGATCTAGCCTGCAACCTGGGCATTTGCCCCAATTGGAATCAAACTGTGACTTCCCGGTTCATTGGTAGATGTGCAATCACTGAGTCACACCGCTGGGCTAGTTTTTGTTTTGTTTTTAATCTAAGGAAATTTAATAGCTACAGAGAATACCAAGATAGTTCAAATGTTACAGCTCTATCTGTAGGCTATTTGCCATAAATAATTATTATTGATTATTATACCAGTCTGAACTAATCCTATTTTGGTCCTTCTAGTAAATTAGGATTACTTTCTGAGATTATTAAAATTGGATAGGCTAAAAAATATCCGTGTTCCTCAGGCTGTGTCTGTATATTTCAGGTTCCGGGCCTCACTCTATCCCTGTCCTGAGACACCACAGGAGAGGAAGGAAATGGCTTCTGGAGTTAATACCAGGATTGAGGATCTCCAAATGGTATGTAGAGGGCTTATGGGAATTTGTTTTTGTGTAATACTAAAATAGAAGACTAGTCTCCTGCCTTGAAACACAAACAGTTTATTAGGCACCTGCAGTAGCTCAGGGAGCCAAAAAAGGAAATGTCTCCTTGGGGGCTGGGGAAAAGTTTCATGGAATAACTGCTTTAAAAAAGCATTAATCATCCTCAAAAGAGACAGGAATGCTGTGCATCTGCAATCGTTGTTGCTTAGAGTATTCAGTTCTCCTCATCATGAGTCAAAACTATGCTTAGTTAAAAAAAAAAAAATCAAACAATACAGAAGTGTGTACAAAGTCAGTTCCACCCTGACACACACACACACACACACACACACACACACACACACACACACACTCTACCTCCAGAGGCAGCCACTCTCAACCGCTTGGTGTGTAACCCTCTGGTCACTGTGGATATCAACCACACAGCCTAGCCAAAGCGTTCTGGTGTAACTCTTGTACCCAGGAAGAGACTGCATTAGATTTTCCCAAAATCACAGTGTGTGTAGTTTACACACACTGTGGTTGCCACAGGGTTCTAAGAAAGGAGTCATGGTTTATGGGTACATGGAAGGAAAAGGGTGGCCAGTTGGAGTGTTGTTTCTTGTTGAAAGAATGTGAAGAGTGCCCCTTAAAAGATTAATAAACATACCAATCCCTAAGGCATTTCTTTCTAGTGGCAAAATTGTCAGAGATATGTTGTAATTCCCATTTCAACTTCATCTTTCCCTCCGACCCCCATTGTATGTGACCCACCAACTTGGCCTACTTCCGGTTCCTTTGAGATATTCTTATTCAAACTACTGGTGGATGTGTCTGATTGCACAAGCCTAGTGCCCTGTCACTGAACTTGGCCATATTAGTATGTTCTGGGTTCTAGGACTGTCTTATCCCCTCCCAGGCTTATGGGTAGGTTTGAAAGAGTATGTGCAACCCACATGAACTGATCTGAAACTTTGAGAAAGGGATTGAATACCAGGGGGTGGGAGATAGGGAAAGAAAAAAAGCAAATAGAACATTGCTTCCCAGAAGTTGTACTAGTAATTGTGGAATTGTCAACAGCCAAAAGGAGAAAAAGTAGTTTTGTTCCTTTATTCTCAAGTGATTTAAGAGTTTACCAAGGATATTTTCCCCCCATTAATTTTTAGAGAGTGGAAGAGAAAGAGAGAGGGGAGGGAGAGAGAACTATGAGAGAGACACATCAACTGGGGCTGGGAATCAAGTCTGCAACCCCGGTACATGCCCTTGACTGAGAATCGAACCCAAGACCCTTTGGTACCAGGGCCTATGTTCTAATTATTGAGCAACAAGCCAGGGCAGCTTTTTTTTAACCTTTCAATGTAAGTCACATTCTACCGCTCAAGATAGTTTCCTGTGATTCCTCTGAGGAACTCTGTATTGGTTTCCAGAGGATCAGCACTGAAACATCCCCTCGCAACACCCCCTCCTAGCCTGACAGGAACAGAGCCTTATCTGCCCATGATAACAGTGGTATGTGGCAGTCTAAATTCCCTCTAAAGGTTCCGGATCCTCCTGGCCCCAGTGTCTCCTGTCTCCGGTTATGGGGTCTCTCTCGGCATAGGCAGACAGTGGTGTTCAGCATTGCCTCTTTCCCATGGTTCCCTGCTGCTGGCTTGCCTTCAGGGGACTGATTCTGCAGCTTGCTGTTCTTCAGTGTGGATTTGTTGCTTTGTCAGCGTCTGGACCTGTGATGCTGACTCTCTGAGTGTGAGTTACAGGCTCCACCTGGAAAGTCACCACTCTTTAATGGGCCAAGTAAAAGCCAGTGAACTACATTGTTGTGCCATAGATTTGGCAGTAAGATTAAAGGTAATAGTATAAAGGCAAAAACCATTTTATCGGGCTTCTTTTGAGCTTGAAGCTAAATAAAAATGAATGTTAGTAAATAGAACTCTAATTTCTTATCATTTGACCCCTAAAAAGTCATTCTAGTTGAAGGAAGAAAAAACAAAACAGATTCCCAGCAACCCTTCTCAGAAAGCTGTGCCTTTTGCCATTCATATCCTGAGACTTAAGACTGGTGTTAGGAAGATCCTCCCATGTTCCTTTCTCTCTCAAAGGTTTTGAATCAAACGGAGGATCACCGCCAGAGGGTTCTGCAGGCAGCTGCTAAGAATATCCGGGTCTGGTTCATCAAAGTGCGGAAGATGAAGGCCATCTACCACACCCTGAACCTGTGCAACATAGATGTGACCCAGAAGTGTCTGATTGCAGAGGTCTGGTGTCCTGTCACTGAACTGGATTCCATCCAGTTTGCACTCAGAAGGGGCACGGTAAGTCCCCCACAGCAAGCAGTGCGGACTATAGCTCGGAAAAGAGGTTCCCATCAACACATTTTTATAACATTTTACTTTCAGAGTTCTTCAATATACACATTGTGTGTCCTGACGATGCATTTTTCATATGTGTCCTTTTTTTCCAAATGTGGAAATTGTACTTAAAAGAAAAAGATTAAATAACTTAATCATGTATCTGTGATTCTTCAGGGTAGCTTATGACGAGAATGTCAATTTCCTAATCCACATTCTCGGCCCATTAGTATAAACTGTGGTATGACCCTGGAAGACTCACTTAGTAGTTAGAAGTACTGCTCTATTCAAACCATTGATCTAGGTAGAGGTGTACAAAATAAGCCCTCAACTACTTTACAGTTTCCTTGGAGAGGCTGACATGCAATCTTACAGTCAGACTGTACAGAAGCCAGTCTGTACTCAGAGTGGTATATGTGTGTGGAGAGAGGGTGTTAGCTTTCCCAACTAAGATGATTGAACAAAAGCTTCAAGAAGGTGGCATTGGGACTTTGAAGAATGTGTGAGATGCCGATTTACAATGATGAGAAATAAATATGGACAAAGACAGGAAGTACAGTACAACATTCATGGTTGGGCAAAAACGGAATTATAATAGGCAAACTGAAATACTGGGATGTGAATTTGATTAGTGGAACCTAATTGAGGAAGGTTTTAAAATACCAGGCTACTTTTTAAATTCTCTTCCAGGCTGAGACCAGTTTGGCTCAATGTATAGATCGTCAGCCTGTGGACTGAAAGGTCCCCGGTTCGATTCCGGTCAAGGGCATGTACCTTGGTTGCGGGCATATCCCCAGTAGGGGGTGTGCAAGAGGCAACTGATTGATGACTGTCTCTCATCGATGTTTCTAACTCTCTATCTCTCTCCCTTCCTCTCTGTATAAAATCAATAAAATATATTTTTAAAAAATAAATAAATAAATAAATTCTCTTCCAGAAGGAATGGAGAGGCTGTAGAAGTTTTTTAGCAGTGAAAAGACATGACCAAATCTGTTTTAAAGAAGTAATCTATTAATAGTATCTTAGTTGGATTAGGGAATAGAGGAAGTCTATAGGTGGGGATCAATTAGGAAGTTATTTTAAACACAGAGCAGTAAATTGTAAGGGACCCTGGGGTAAGAACTGACAATAGAAAGAGAAAATAAAGATGAATTTGTGAGACATTCTGAAGGAAGAATCAATTAGGTAAACTTGGTTTCTAGCAACACGTGGGAGAAGTACAAGAAGAAATAAACATAATTGTTTCTGAGGCATCAAAGCTGGGTGCCTGGTAGAATAATGGTTCAGTTAATGGAAGTAAAAGTTCAGCAACAGAAACTTAGAGGAAAGATGGTAAATTCAGTTTCAGTCACAACGAGAGGCTGGATTGAAATCTACATGGAAATGTCAAGCAGATATTAGGACTGGTTCTTGATAGAAAAGGCAAAATGAAAGATGTGGGATTCATGAGTGTGAGCAAGAGGGGATTCTATGGAATCAAGGTTTTCTCTCAAAAAGAGTCAGGGGCTTGCAGATGGGAGAGAAGACCTTTGGATCTGGTGATCAGCAGCCACTTTGAATAAGCGTGCTCAGCTAGACTGCAAGGATTCGGGAATTTAGAGCAGGTGGTGAGGGAGGAAAGTCAGAGAATGTACTTTGCTTTCTCCATAAACAGAGGAGAGAACAATGGTTACTTTGGTTACACATTTTAGAATTAAATGGTTTTTTTATAATAAGTATTTTCTTCTGAAGACTTAATTTAAATCTTTCATTATAAATTTTATGCCTAGTTTCAGTTTCCCCAAAGACTGGGGAAGATTGAGATAGAATTTATATGAAATAAAACACCACATTTTATGCATACAGTTGGATGGGTTTTGATAAATATGAATACCTATGTAACCGTCACCACATTTAGGAGCATGACCTAAGTTGCTATGTGTGCTTAATGTTTGCCAGGAGCACAGCGGGTCCACCGTGCCCTCCATTTTGAACAGGATGCAGACAAACCAGACTCCCCCAACCTATAACAAAACGAACAAGTTCACGTATGGCTTTCAGAACATAGTAGATGCTTATGGAATTGGAACTTACCGAGAGATAAATCCAGGTAAAAAAAAAATGTTTGAATCATTTCCCTCTAGAGGTTTTTTTTTTTTTGCTTGTTACATATATACTTTTAAATATATATATTTTTTTATTTCAGAGAGGGAGAGAGAGAGAGAGAAACATCAGTGATGAAAGAGAATCATTGATTGGCTGCCTCCTGCACACCCCACACTGGGGATCAAGCCCACAGCTCATGGGCATGTGCCCTGACCAGGAATCGAACCATGACTTCCTGGTTCATAGGTCTACGCTCAACCATGGAGCCAAGCAGGCCCGGCTGTTTGTTTTATCTTTTAATGCCTCGCTTTAAATGCTGTTAACAACTGGCTTAAAGCTAAAGATGTCAAGACTTCAGCACTAGTGTAACTCCTGTGGAGAGGTGCCCATTTCACTCCTGTTTTTTACAGAACAGGTTATTTGGAGAACTTCCTTGATGATTAAGCAAAATTTGACTGTATAAAATTTTTATTATTAAAATTTGAAAGAATTATAGAAATTATCTCATTCAAGTTCCCATCAAAAGGAGAAAAATCTTATATATTTAAAAAAAAAAAAAAAAGAGGTGGTTTTATAGGCATGAGCTCTGTTGATTGGATTCTTCCATGTATATGTTTTTCAGCTATAAAACACCTAGCTTTCTCCAGCACACCATCTGCAGGAACTGCTTTAAGCAAAAGTTCTCCCTCCCTCCAAGATATCTGACATTTTAAAATAGCTTCCTGTTCCAGATTAGAGAAAATATAGCAATTATTGACCATGTTAGGCACAAAGCAGATTTCTCCTCTGTTGGAGAGTTAATTATTAAGTCAAGAGTCTGAGAATTCATTTTCAGCCGGAGCCTTCTTCAGGCCCTGCTTTGCTGCGTGTGCTGGCCTTTCTCCTAGCATTGCTGCACAGAGAAGAAAGCTGCTGGTCCAGGAGCAGTGTCCCAGGGATTAGAAAAAAGGAATCGGAGAACAAACCACATTGTTGCCAATGCTAGAGGCAAAACTTTCACTTCCTGTGCTTTTCTTTGTTTAAAATTCTAGCCGTAGCTCAGATGCCATCAGAGCTCCTTGTGAGGTGCACAGTGCCGAGGGACATTTTCTCTCGACCTTAGCTTATGGAGAGCAATGTGATGAGTTGGGAGTTGTTACGGTTTTCTGTGCTTTGTCTTTTTCCTCCTTTGTTGTTTTTTCATTAATTTTTAAAAATTTTTGTTGACATTATTACAGATGTCCCTATTCTGCCCCTTCTTTGTTTTATTTTAATATATTTTTATTTTTTATAGTATTATAGCTATCTCCCATTCTCTCCCCCTTGTTTTTTTTTTTATTAATTCATTTTTTTATTACAGTTGACATACATCACTATTAGTTTCAAGTGCATAACATAGTGATTAGACATTTATACACCTTACAAAGTGATCATCCAGTGAGTCTGGTACCCACCTGACATGCTTTGGTTTCTTTCTAGCTCCATATACCATCATCACTTTCCCTTTCCTGTTTGCTGTGATGTTTGGAGACTTTGGCCACGGCATTTTGATGACCCTGTTTGCTGTGTGGATGGTGTTAAGGGAGAGCCGGATCCTCTCCCAAAAGAATGAGAATGAGGTAATGTGTAAGTTACATTTTGTGGTAGACTGAAATTTTATAATTCCTCAAGCATTCATTATGAAAATTATGATCTGGAAGTCTTCTGTCATGAACTTATAGAGAAGTTATGTTTATTTTAACACTTAAAGAGGCCACATGCTGTGAAAGTGAATTTCTTTCTGCATTGTATTTTGGTCTTCAAGCTCTCTGACCCAAGGATCGGGTTAAGTGGTATCAGAGGAAGGGTCTAGTGTTTTCTAAACCACATTGTCCCAATGTGAACTATAGCAAGTACATTGCATTGACTTCTTCCTTCTGGTTCCCAGATGTTTAGCACTGTGTTCAGCGGACGGTACATTATTCTGTTGATGGGTGTGTTCTCCATCTACACTGGCCTCATCTACAACGATTGCTTTTCCAAGTCTCTCAATATCTTTGGATCATCCTGGAGCGTACGGCCAATGTTCATATCTAATTGGACGTAAGTTGCAAAAGAAGCTAAAAGCTTATTCCTTTCATATTCACCTCTGATTCTCCAGACAAGTGGTGAACTCATGCTTCTTTAGGAGCTGGTTGGCGACATCTCTGTTTCAGAAAAATGCAGTGTTATTTATCCTCCACAAACTTTGTGGTTTGCTCAGCAGACTCAAGGAGCTGAGGCTAAAATAGGCACATTGGTTCTTTTTATGAATTAAAAGCAGATTTTCCAAATTCCCTACTCGGTTGTATGTGTGTGTTTAAGTTTGTTGTTGTTGTTATCTTTGATCCCTTCTCATCTCAGATGTTAGTCCCTATTCTTTTGATTGAAGAGCTGAGATAGCTCTAGTAGTTTCTTTTGGGGTCAGTTTCTGTTGATAAAAAAATAAATGCCACTTTTCTCCTAATTTAGGGAGGAGACGCTTCGGGGGAACCCTGTGCTCCAGCTGGACCCAGCTGTCCCTGGAGTTTTTGGTGGACCATACCCTTTTGGCATCGATCCAGTAAGAGCATGTCTTTCCTAGATGTCTAACACGAAAATGTCAAACTGTAACCCTAAACTGGGAGAATAAAGTGAAGATAGATAGTTATTTGGTTTTTAGTTGACATGTATATATTTTTTAAAACCTTGATTTATCTATTCGGTGTACTTCAAAGCCATAAAAGACCAAGTGCCTTGGGGAGGCAAAATAATTTTTCCTGCACTGCTTATTTCAGAGGTGGTTAGTAATATTTACTCTGAGAAGATTGATTTTCAAGACTCCTTCCCAGTTTAATTTATTTAACTTCATTTGTTTGTCTTTTTCACAGAACAGAAATAGCTCCTCTGGGTTTCAACTTCCAGTCTTATCTTTACATACTATAAGAACTTATCCGAGAATTTAATTATTTTTTTCAAGTATTTAGGCAAATAAGGGTAGTTAACTCTTTTGTATTGTGTGCCTCAGAAAGGGGGTAGGAGGAACTGAAGAATAAGTGTTAGACAGTAACGATTGTAGAATTTCAGGTGGGAGACATCATTATGGCCCAGAGAGATTAAGGTTTTTTATTAAAATGGGAAATAAATTGTCCCTGGCTTGTTTGGCTCAGTGGATAGAGCATTGGCCTGCAGACCAAAGGGTCCCAGTTTCAGTTCCAGTAAAGAGCCCATATCTTAGTTGCAGGTTCCTCCCCTGGCCGGGGCCCTGGTCAGGGCTCCTGTAGGAGGCAACCAATTGATGTGTTTCTCTTACATCGATGTTTCTCTCTGTCTTTCCCTCTCTCTTCTACTCTCCCTGGCTGATTTGGCTCAGTGGATACAGTGTCGGTCTGTGGACTGAAGGTCCCAGGTTCGATTCTGGTCAAGGGCATGTACATTGGTTGCGGGCATGTTTCTCTCTCATCGATGTTTCTAGCTTTCTATTCCTCTCCCTTCCTCTCTGTAAATATCAGTAAAATATATTTTTTAAAAAATACTTCAGATTGTTATAGGTGAGGAGAAGTGTTTGCAAAAAACATAGAGGTGGGGAGATACAGAGTTGATTATTTTAATTATTAGAGAAGTTCATGTTACTGAAATGCTTACTATGGTCCAGAAATATGCACTGAGACCTCAGCATATCTGATTTGTCCTTAATTTATTGAGTAGATGATGCTATCCGTATTACACAGATAAGAAATAGGCATGGAGAAGTTTAATAACGTGTTACATATGCATTTAACAAATGTTTATGAATCCTTGTTTTCTGCAAGGCATAGTACCTTCTGGGGGGAACACAGAACTTTCAAAACATAATTCCTGGCCTCAAGTAGCTTAATCTAATAATATTTCTTCACGTTTATATAGTGTTCTATAGTTAAAACATTTTCTTGCAGATATTTCTTTGGATACTTACAGGGTAGATACTGAGTTTGAAGTGACTGTGGGGGACACCCAGGAAAATGTCTGTCAGGCAGTTGGAGTTGTAGAGCTGAGTTTCAGGTGAGATTGGGGCTGGAGAGAGAACCAGTCACAACTTTTCAGGTTAGAGGTCACCGAGGATCAGCTCTTCACGAAGAAGCCAGTTCAGGAAAAAAAGAAGCCAGGCTAGATGGTAGAAGATCCTGCTTGTCAGGCTACAGATTTTGCACTTTGGCCTAGAGATGGTGGTGGGGAGGTTTTGGGAAATGACTGCGTCAGAGTCACCATTTAGAAAATGTTATCTGATGGCCATGTTATCTGGCAGCAGAACTGTCCGGGAAATATTACAGGCATCCAGGCCTTAGGGGACAAAGTTTAAGGCAATTAATATTTAAAAAGTAGATGGACTGCCCTAGCCAGTTTGACTCAGTGGATAGAGTGTTGGCCTATGGACTAAAGGGTCCCAGTTTGATTCCAGTCAAGGGCACATGCCTGGATTGTGGGCTTGATCCCCAGTAGGGGGAGTGCAGGCTAATCAATGATTCTCTCTCAATATTGATGTTTCTCTCTCTTCCTCTCCCTCTTCTTCTCTGAAATCAATAGAAATATATTTTAAAATAAACAAATAAAGCTTCTTAAAAATAGAAAAGTAGATGGATTGACAGCACTACAGGGACATAATCAGCAAAACACAAGATTATGGAAACATCTACAGATAACTGGGTAACTGACCCAATTTCTTCAACAAATACTTTGTAAGGAATAAGAAATGAGAGCTGGAGGGAAACCCTCTAGATTAAGACTTAAAAGCTATGTCAACAATCCCGGTGCACAGACCTTGTCTGGACCTTACTTTGAATAAATGAGTTTTAAAAAGCATTTGGACACAATCCAGAGAAGTTCAAATGTTGACTACATATTCCATGATATTAAGGAATTATTGTTATTGTTTTTGGGTGTAATAATAGCATTGTGGTCATGTTTTTAAAATGAATCCTTTTTTATTTTATTTTATTATTTTTAAAATATATTTTATTGATTTTTTTTACAGAGAGGAAGGGAAAGAGATAGTCAGAAACATCGGTGAGAGAGAAACACCGATCAGCTGTCTCCTGCACACCTCGCGCTGGGGATGTGCCCGCAACCAAGGCACGTGCCCCTGACCGGAATCAAACCTGGAACCCTTCAGTCTTCAGGCCGACGCTATATCCACTGAGCCAAACCGGTTTCGGCAAATCCTTCTTTTTAGAGATCTGCACTGAAATATTTACAGTAAAATTATATGGTTCCGGGATTTTGTTTCAGAATAATATGGAGGTGGGGAGTGGGCTGGGGCTATGATGGAGCCAGATTGACCGAGAGCGCATAGGTGGATACTAATTGTTGAAACTAGGTGATGTCCATGTGAGAGTAGTCTGCTATACTATTCTCTCTACCTAGGAATGTGGTTAGAATTTTCCATAATTAAAAAACAACCCTATTTTTTAAATGGGTGACTATTTTTCCCTTTTGAGCACTCTTTGTAATACCCTTCTGTTTCCTTGGGCTGTGACAGATTTGGAACATCGCTACTAATAAGCTGACCTTCCTCAATTCCTTTAAGATGAAGATGTCCGTTATCCTTGGTATCATCCACATGATGTTCGGAGTCGGTCTGAGCCTTTTCAACCATATGTGAGTCGCTCTGTTCCTGTCATAAGAATGTGCATAGTTTAGGTAATGCTTTTGCCTAAGGAATTCATGGCATTTTGGGGGAGGGATTAGTAACTCAGAACCCTGTTCTGTGTTTTAAAAAAAAAAAAAAAAAAAAAAAGTGCTTTTAAGAAATTAGGTGCTTACTTAATATTAGTCCCTTAAAAATTTACAATTGTAGTCAAGAACTTTGAAAGAACCTTGTGTAATTTTTATCAAAATGAATGAGTTATTTTTTCCTTGATGTGTAACTCACATGCAATTTTGAACTGTGTCTTGGAATGTACTAAATTTTCCAAATCTCTCTCTCATGGGAGAATGGAGGGGATGCTACTGGAACTGTTCCAGGTCCAAAAGTTTGGAAGTCATCGTTAATCCCATTTGTCTCTGTTGTCTCCAGTGCTTCTGGCTCTTGCTTCATAAAGTAATAAAGACAGAATTGAGGGAGTCAGAGGGGAAAATTTAGTGAGGGCTCCACTTGAGGTAGGGGTGGCCCAGGGTCTGTTCACTTCTCACATTTTTTTTCTCTCTTCCTTTTTAGCTATTTCAAGAAGCCCCTGAATATCTACTTTGGGTTTATTCCTGAAATAATCTTCATGACCTCTTTGTTTGGCTACTTGGTTATCCTTATTTTTTACAAGTGGACGGCTTATGACGCCTTTACATCTGAGAGAGCACCAAGCCTTCTGATCCATTTCATAAACATGTTCGTCTTTAACTACGAGGACATTCACAATTCAATGCTATATTCTGGACAGGTGCGTCAGCCCGGAGGTGGACTGTCTTAGGCAGTTATCCTAGGTCAGGAAGTTAGATGTTCCTGTTACCCTAAAAAAAAATTAGCTGAAGCCGGTTTGGCTCAGTGGTAGAACGTCGGTCTGCAGACTGAAAGGTCCCAGGTTCGATTCTGGTCAAGGGGCATGTACATTGGTTGTGGGCACATCCCCGGTAGGGGGTGTGCAAGAGGCAGCTGGTCAATGTTTCTCTCTCATCGATGTTTCTAGCTCTCTATCTCTCTCCCTTCCTCTCTGTAAAAAAAAAAATCAATAAAATATACTTTAAAAAAAAAAACAAAAACAAAACTTAAATCCCTTTCTGTAGGATTTGGTTTTCAGTTCATGCATCCAGACCTAAAGTCAGCCTGTCCTCCTTACTTGGGAGGTTCTACGCAGAAAGGGTAGACTAATAACTCTCATCCAATGGGACAATTCCTGGGCTTTGCCACATCGGCTAATTGTTTTGAGAGTCTGGTTAGCATTATTCACAAGTCCATAAGAAAGTACTGTTTTGTGGGTAATTTATGCTGGAATTGGAAACTGCATGTTTGATTAATGTGATGTGTCATGTCCTTCTTTGCAGAAAGGAGTTCAGTGTTTCCTGGTTGTGGTCGCATTGCTGTGTGTACCGTGGATGCTACTGTTTAAACCACTGGTCCTTCGCCATCAGTATTTGAGGAGGAAGCATATGGTGGGTGTATTTCTGTTGCTGAAAGTTACTCTATATATTTTTAAGATCAAGACAACTCCTCATTGGACCTAATGAATTGTGCATAAGTCTATATACTCTCAAAATGCATTTGTGTCATATCCCAGCATGAGCACTGGACCTGCTGAAATCAAAAAGTGTTTTTGCTGCCTGGACATCTGGATGCAGCTTTGAGTAGCTCGGGTATAGAGAATAAGTCATAAGTGTTTACCTTTCCTGGTCACGTTTTGCTCATGCCGTCTCAGCAAAGTCCAGGCCTGGGCCTGTCTAGATGCAGCATCAGACACAACAAGGCAGCGAGAGCTGCAGCCGTGTGAACCACTCATGTGGTTTGTCTGGGCAACCACAGGGCTGACACTGAGGCGTTTTCTTTTGAAATAAGACCATGATACTCCAAACAACCAAAACATTCGGGGGAAATTTTGGCTTGAAGCATGTTGTTTTTTATTTTTTAAAAACAGCATACATACTTGTGTTTACTTAATGTATGTGTGCATGTGAATTCTACACACACACACACACACACACACACACACGCTTAAGTTGCCAAATGTTCACTTCTAGCTATGCAGTAATGCTTACTTATTATACTGTGGTAAAATCCGAAAGATCTTTTTGCATGACTCTCATATGGCTGTTAGATTATTATTCCTGTTGAAGAGCAGCTAAGTTACAAGACCCTCCTTCTCCCTTCTCTGACCATCTTCACCCTTCCATGTCCCCTGCATTCGTCTCCCCCTTCACTCCCTCCCTCTTTTGTTCTCTTCTCCCTTCCTCTTTTCTTCCCTTCACTATCAGGAAGGGCAACCTGTGGAGGCCCCAGTCAGCCCAACCCCGAGCCAACAGGGACTAGAGGCAGCAGCGGCTGCAACAGTGAGTGAATTTAAACCAACAAACCATCACATTTTGTGTAAAGAGGTGGCAAACAGTGCAGCAGCATTCTTTTTAACTATATTGAGAGCGTGGGACATGTGTGCTCTTGGGAAATATGTCCTTGTTACTCACTGAGACGCCAGAAAAGAGTTCCACCTCTTATGAGTAGATTCTGATATCATCTTTACCCTTGGCCTACAGTTTCTATTCCGATATGTAAGTGCAGTCGTGGTTATGGAAGCAGAGTGGCTGTTGTACCCTCTCTGGGTCCCATCATCTTAATCCAAGATGGCAGCTCTTGGGCCCACCCACTTGCATGTCTGTGTTTTGTGACCACGTATCGGATGATTTTTCAGCATGGAGCAAGAACATCTCTGTGATTCTTGAATTGATTTCCTGACACTTAAAGTTCTGCTTCAGAAGATGCTTGACATTTGGTCCATTTTAGCTGTGACTTAAGTCTCCTTCCATTGGAAGCTTATACATGTCTTCTTTTTGTGAGAGACTCAGAAGCCCTCACACCCTCAGCTGCTCCAGTGAGACTCGGCTTTGCCGTGTGTCTTGTGTGTGTTGTACATCTGGGGTAATGACCAGAGTCATCTCTGTTTTCTTTCCTTCTTCCAGTACTAGCTTATTATTCAGAATCAGCAATTTGAATGTTAAGCATGTCAATATCTGTCCTTAAAAACATCTCTTAACCAAAATCTTTCAATGCCCTAATATCAAACTAGTACAGTCTATTCTAAGTGATGAATCTATAGGATTTTTAAGTCTCACCAGTAGTGATCACTCATGTACTGTTGTGTTCTAGTAGCATCATAGTCCTTTAAAAGAAAATGAATATTTAGATGGATATCCATTTCCTTCATTAGGTGTTTCTGATCCCTTTGAACTTTGAAGACTATGATCATCCCTCTAGAACTAGTCTAAGAGGGCTGGTATTTTGAATAAGAAGATATCTTAATATTGCTGCTTAAATGATTTTCAAGTGGGAACTTTCTCTTTTCCTATAAGAAAAAAATATTAAAAACCCTTAAGCACAAACTATCCACGTATTTATATTCTTTCTATGGGCTCTCTTTCTGCTAGTCTTAATGTTTTTAAGGTGTGCTTCTGATGCATCAATCTTGATGCTTTTAAATCTAGCATCCTCTTCTTTCATACTATCCAAGTTAAAAGTCCCCAGTCTAGAAACCCCCACATTCACAGAGTCTTCTTAGCCCACAGGTTTTTTTTGGTTTTTTTTTTTTTTTTTTTTGGCCAAACATCTGGAGAGCAACCTAATGGCATCAGGATAACTCTATAACAAGGACTCTGGATTCTTGACCCCAAGGGCTGAGGATATGAACACGGATCTGATTTTGTTCTGTTCTATATCCTCTTGGTTGCCTGTTATCCTGTGTCACAGTTTTGTTTTTTTTCTTTTCTTTTCTTTCTTTCTTTTTTTTTCTTGTGTGTGTGTCTCATCCCCCTTCCTATGACTCTCATTCCCTGGGTTCTGAAAGGACAGTCATTAGTGTCTAGCTGGGACTCTGCCCCGCTCTGTCTTCTAGTGAGGGGAGCTTCAGAACTGGCCTTCAGCTTTAGGTGCCTTGAAGCCAGCCTTCTGTGCCCTAGAACCCATTCCAGGAGTCCATGCCCTTTGTTGCCCTTTCAGTCCATCTTCTGAGGGTTGTCATGTTAATATTTGTGTGACCTGGAGGTGCCCAGGGCTTCAGTGGTTCCTGAATCTGACTTCATATCAGAATCACCTGGTGAAGTTGACATCTGTTTCTTGGGATATTAAAACAGATAAAATAAAAATGGTCTATAATTCTATGACCCAGAGAATCCCCCACTGATATTAAAAAGTACAATTAAAGCAATAGGTGACCTTGATTAGAAAATGCAAATAAGGGAACATTTGAGATCTTGCTCTCTAGCATGTGTTGTCAGTTTGGCTCCAATAAAAATTTTGGGGGGAAAAGAAAATGCAAATAATACTGAAAGCAAAAGCTTCCCTGTCCCCAGAACCTTTCTCCTCCTTAAGGATATTATTAACAGCATTTTACCTCCAATTTTTTTTGTGTATGTCAGCATATATCTATCATCTTCTGATATTTTTTTAAGATATATATTTTTTAAGACACATCAAGAATTGTGTTTAAACTGTAGCACTATTTTGTCCCTTGATTTATTAAGTTATTAAAAATTTAGTGGATCTTGGAGATTGTTTCATAGTTATTCTCCTAGAGTTCCATAGATCATTCTGTTGGATATGCTAAAATTATGTGAACACTTTCTTACTAATGGATGTGTTCATTGTTCCCAGTTCTTTGCTATTACAAGTAGCAATTTTAGGGAACATCTTTGATAAAATTTCACAAGCAAGTTCCCAATAGTGGGTGGAATTGGATTGCTGAGTCTCAAATGATGCATGCATTTTCAGTTTTGATACACAATCAAAATGATTATACAGGCCGAGACCGGTTTGGCTCAATGGATAGAGCGTCGGCTTGGGGACTGAAGGGTTCCGGGTTCGATTCCGGTCAAGGGCATGTACCTTAGTTGCGGGCATATCCCCATTAGGGGGTGTGCAAGAGGCAGCTGATTGATGACTCTCTCTCATCAATGTTTCTAACTCTCTATCTCTCTCCCTTCCTCTCGTATATAATCAATAAAATATATTGAAGAAAAAAAATGATTATACAGTTTGTACTTGAGGGTATATATTTTTAATATAGATTTCCTAGGCTCCACCCCAGACCTGCTGAATTTGCACTTTCTGGGAGAAGTATTTGAGAGTCTGAGTACTGAAATGCAGCTTTCAATGTGACTCTGATGCAATGGTTCTCTACTCAGCACGTGAGAATCGCTGCTGGAAGCGGGAGCATTTGTCCAATGGGATCTGGTGGTCAGTAACTGAGAGCAGGTGAAGGTGTGTGTGGGGTCCTCCAAGCAGCTGTCCAAACCTGCTTACACAGTGTTTGTGCTGCTTGCCCGGAAGGCTGTTTTGCCGGAGAGCCATCTTCCAACTCTTGTCTTGTTTGGTTCTGCAGACAGAAACCATAGGAAATAGGCCTAGGGGCTGTTTCTTTTTTTTAAATATGTTTTTATTGGCTTTAGAGAGGGAGGAATGGAGAGGGAAAGAGAAACATTGATCAGCTGCCTCCAGCATGACCCCTACTGGGGACTGAGCTGGCAATCAGGGCGTGTGCCCAGATTGGGAATCGAATGAGCGATCTTTTGGAGTAAGGAACTAGGCTCAACCAACTGAGCAACACTGGCCAGGGCCAGGGGGTGTTTCTTCAGATCCTTTCCCTCTGTGGCAGGTTAGCACTAATTAATATCAGTCAGACTTCATCCCAAATCAGGTTTACGTAGAAATTCTGGTTCTGGAGACCCTACTGAAAACTCTGCCTGGGAAGTGAGGAGAAGCAAACACTCATCAGCATCTGCCCACATGCCCAGAAAGAGTTGTTTTCACACCCCAGAATCCTCCATTGGAGGAAGGGAGCCTCTTTCCTTTTTTTTTTTTTTTTAACTCAGTATTCTCTAGCAACAAGTTCAAGTACATTAAGCCTTTTTCCTTCCTTTGTTTCTGAGCAGAGGCCCAGTACACTTCTGGGAGAGGTGGCTGGAACTCTTGGGGCTCCTGTTGGAAGTTTCTCAGACAGACCAGGTTACAGTCACCATGTCATTCGGTGCCCCTCCCTCTTAGAAAGTCTCCTCTTTAGTTCAGTTTCAGAAAAACGTAGGCCATTGGAAGCTTTGAGGATAGAGCTACACGTGCCATGAGAGTCTGTTTGTGCTAAGCTTTTCCATTCAAGCAGGGTTCTTAATTAGCATTGACCAAGGCAAGGTATGTGTCTCTGAGTGCAGCAGGCAGAACTGCCTATTTCCTCCCCTCAGGACGAGTTGGTAAATGTAGTTGGGGCTGGGGCTGGGCGGTGGTGGTTGGGGTGGGAACAGTGGTTTGTTTTTACTGCTGTTTGAGCAGCTAGTTTTGCTTTTGTTGTTAGGATATATACTTTTCTGAGGTTTGTATGTACTAACCATCGCCCTTCCCCACTTCACAAAATGTCATATTAAAGCCCAGGCAAATTCTACTCTTTCTGTGTGTAGGGAACTGTCACCTTTGGTGGGATCAGGGTGGGCAACGGACCGACAGAGGAGGATGCTGAGATTATTCAGCATGACCAGCTCTCCACCCATTCAGAAGATGCAGAAGAGGTAAGATCCAGTGGTGTGGGCTTCCTCTCCTTCCACTTCGGGTCAGCCCTGGTGTGTGCACCTCAGTGGCTTCACTCTGGTCTTCTCCTTGAAAAAATGAAAATACGAATCCTAATGGTCAGCCTGCCTTCTGGACCGCTCAGGGCACCGCAGCCTTTTCCCAGGGGCCCCGTAAACTCCAGGTGTTGCTGTCAGAGCCCGCAGCAGTTTTTTTCTATTGTTCCATTTCTTAAATTTTGAGTTGCATGCAGATATCAGTTCCTACCTGCTCTCCAAGATACAGGCAGAATAGGCCCAGCTTCCGGCTCTTAGTACCAGGAACACAGCCACGTGGGCAGCATCCACATCCCTTGCGCCTTCCAAGGATGGCTCCAGCTGGCGCTGGAACCACTGATGCTTTGGAAGTCCGGTCCCACCGATGTGCTCTTGTTGCAGATATTTCATTTGAGCCTTTTAAAAATGCCTGCTTTTTATAGGGAGAGTGAAAAACACTAGGAAGGCTAAGCTAGACTTTTCCTACACCCCACCTCCAAGCTCAGTTTTTTTAAACTCACAGTCTTTGCCTAACCACTCGTAGCACACAGCCTCTGAACTTTTGGATCTCATCTGTTCATTGTATTCTTTTTAAAGCAAAAGGGATAGGAGTTGAGGACCCCAGGTGATTGGACTTTTTAGTCTGACTGATCACTTTCACTATATTTAAAAAAAGAAATTGCAGGGGTTGGGGTGCCTTTTAAAAATAGTTCTGCCTGCGCTAAATCCTGCTGATTTCGCTTTCCTGTATGCTGAGGGGCTGCCTTCACCATGTTAGACCCACTTAACACTAACCGTCCTCCCCACGAAGCAATGGTAGTCTCGTGACTTGACCTTGTGTGTGCCACGGCTTCCCACTAAGTGTAACTTTGTGTTTTCAAGCCTACCGAGGATGAAGCGGTAAGAAACAAGCTGCTTTGCCTTCATGTCTATCTGGGGCTTGTCTTCCCGTCCTTGTGATCACTTTGCTGAGCCTGCTGCATCCGGGGGCCACACATGACACCCGCGTATCCTGCATCTCACTGGCCATTTCTAACCAGTTCGTGAATCTGTGTTCTGAAAAAGCTCATCTCCATTAACTGCATCTCACGTTGGTCGCCTCTGTCTTTGTTTCATTGACTTCGCTGATCTAATACCTCTGAGAATGGCTTTGTAAGGAGCTACAAGCAATGTCTGCATTGGCATTCTTGAAGTGACTCCCCTTGGGGGTTAAGTCCCAGTGGCTTCTGCCTGCCTATCCTTTGATGTTATGTGTGGTCGCTCTGCCATGGGAGTTTCCTCCCTGGGCCTCTGAGTGCTTATGAGTAAAGCTCCCCCTTCCTCCCAGGCTGAGATGCAGCCAGCCTCTTCCTGCTGCCCTCGTCAGCTTGATGATGCTTGAAGTGACAGTTGCTGGACCCTTGCCTTGGGGTCAGCTCTACCTCTGTGTGACCCAGGTGGGAAGTAGACAGCGTTCAAAAGGAGGCTTTGCCTCTTAGATGTATCCCAGTAAAAAACAACAACAGTCCGGCTGTGATATTAGCCACACACAGAGCATAATAACAGAATAGGAAGACAGTTGGCGAAATGATCAGGCTGCATCTGGAGTAGGCCTTCCAGCTCGGCAAGAATTTCCTTAGCAACCTACAAGTTTGGAATCGGGTTTTTAAAAGGCCATGCTGCACTGTTTGCATCTTCCCCAAAATTCCTCTCTGAAATGCTTAGACCCTTAAACCTTCCCTTCCCTGGCTCTCCTGTTCTCTGTAAGGGGGCAGAGTGATAGGAATGGGAAAAAGTCTTTGCTGTTTTGTGTAAAAACAGACAGTGCTCGGTCTTCCTAAAGGCTGAGAGGCTCCTCTGGACCGCTCATCTGTGCAGTCCCTGGCTGGGCCGCCTGGAAGGGAAGTGGGAGTGTGCTCCATATTAGTGAGGACCCCAGCCCCCTCCCAGTAACATGGCCTCCAACAGCACTGCTCTTTCTAAATGCCGTACTAACTGAGCACCCAAAGGCCATGGTCATTGCCAGAACAGCCCTATTTGCAGCCATGTCCCAGGGGAGGTGAACATCAAAACAAGATGGACTGTAATTCAGCTGGCCTAGTCTCTGGCCTCCCAGATCCCCAAGGGTTCTGTTTTTCATAGCTTCCTAAGTAGTCATAACACTTTATCAGACAGACATATACACAGTTTAAGACAGATTTGGATAACTGTCACAGTTATCTAAAGATTTCAAACAAAACAGAATTCTTAAAAAATCCAGCCTACTTCTCCCAGAACTTCCCCATATTGTTTGGCTGTAAAAACCTGTTTGCCGCATACAGGTCATTGCTCAGCCCAGTGCCTCCTCTTCCTGGGGGGCACACAGTTGCAGACCGGGGCCAGGTCATGTGATAGTCTAGGAAACCTTCAAAGACTAGCCATTCAGCAAGGATCAGTGGCATCTCTCCCTACTGTGTCATCTCATCAAGTGTGCTCATCCAACCCATCCATCCATTCATTCACCCTCCACGTGTCAAGCCTCTGTTTAATGCTACAGAAACTGAAAGAAGGAAAACATAGTCCTTGCTTTCAAGGACTCCCAAACAAACTGAGGAAACAGTCCGGGCGGTAGTGGTGTGATCACAGTGTGCCCAGGATGCTGTGGGAACACAGAAAGAGGGCACCAGGAAAACACTGAGAGGGGGTGGGGAAGCAGAGACCAGGAAAGGGCTCCCTGAGGAAAGGATTGCTAGGCTTAGTCTCTGTGGAGGGAGAGGTAGATGCAGAACCACCAGTATGAACAGTTATAAAGACGCAGAGGCCTGCAAGCCCATCATGCTTGGGATTAAACGGGTATTCAGTTTAGCTGAAGCTCAGAGTCAGGAGCTGGGGGACTCGTGAGAGGTAAGACCAGAGGTTGGCAGAAATGAGCCACAGATTGTTTGGACAGCGAGAAGCCATCAGAGGGTGGTGAAGCTGAAAGTGACACAACAAACGTGCATTGCTAAAGTGGAGATGTTAGTGGACATCCTGGATTGGGGAGGGGGCACAGTGGAGGCATGGGGACCAGCTAGTCTGCTATGAGTCAAGAAAAACTTGGGAGGCCTGGGAGAAGCAAGCCTTTTCAGGGGGAGTTAGAAAGGAAGGGACCAATATGAGACTAAGAATGTAAAAAGCTACAGGGCCCAGTCCCTTAGCGAAGATGGGCATTCAAGATTGACTGGCAGGCGTGGGTTCCTGGGGGACAAGTAGTGACACCATTAGACGTGAGACATGGACTGGAAGTACATCTTGGCGGGGTCAGCCCCTTCTCTCCCTGCCCTCGTGTGTTTCCAGGGCAGTTCTGGTGTACTCTGGGTGCGGAGTCATGTGCGTCCTGAAAGAAATAGTGAAAAATAGACACTGACCCAAGGGCACGGCAGGCTGGGGGGTCCCTCTGCTCCCAGGGTTCTGGGCTGGGCTGTGGGGAGAGGCCCCCAGAATGGAACGACCTCCTGTTCTAGAGTAACTGTTGTTTTCTCCACCTGGGAGAGTGGGAGGCCACGAAATGCACCTGGTGCTTCCAGAGCATCTGTGTTCTTCCCAGCTGTGCTTGCAGCAGTCCTAAACGTGAACTCCTGAGAGCTTGTTCCAGCCCCACCTGGAAATAATTTTGTATGTTGAAAGGAAAACGGAGAAAGGGAGTGTGAGGAAAACAGAAACAAAAACGAAATGATATTCTACCTGGTCTTAATCAATTGGCCAAGGAGGAATTGGTAAAACTTATTTTTTTTAATGTCTTTATTGATTTCAGAGAGAGGAAGGGAGAGGGAGAGAGAGAAACATTAATAATGAGAGAGAATCATCCATTGGCTGCCTCCTGCAGCCCCCCTACTGAGGATCAAGCCCACAAGGGCATGTGCCCCGACCAGGAATCAAATCATGACCTCCTAGTTCATGGGTCAACAACCCTCAGTCACTGAACCACACCAGCTGGGCAGAATGAGTAAAATTTTTGCTAAAATTTCTGTCATCTTTTCAGAAGTTACGCCAAAAAAGGAGGTTGGTTACCTTGAGTGCAGTAGTTTGTTAAGCTAATTAAGTGAAGTGATTTGAGGTTTAGGGCCTGACAGCTGGGCGCCGGAGGGAGGGGCTTCCTGCTTCTTTGGCTCTTTCACAGCAGGTGTTCCCCTGGGGGACTTCACACACCAGTGGGTACGAGTGGCTAGAGAAGGTCCTTCAAGGTCCGGAATGACATTTTCTCTGAGCGTTCTCAACTTCACATACACTCCACTTAAGTTCACAGACTAGCCAGGAGAGAAAAACAGATTTGTTGAGAAGAACCTCATGGAGATGTAGTTCATTAAAATGTAGTGTATTGAGGGAAATGGGGGTGTCCAGTTGGGGACTAAGCCAGGCAGGATCTCAGGGGGTCGGCATAGCTGAAGTCACCACTGGAGTTCAACCCTGGGGGCTCCCGGCCCGCGGAAAAGCGCACAGGGGCCATTCGGCACAGCCCAGACTTCATACAGGCGCCTCCTCCCCCAGCCTCATGTGCTCTCTCTGGTCTCCCCACCGCAGTTTGACTTCGGAGACACGATGGTGCACCAGGCCATCCACACCATCGAGTACTGCCTGGGCTGCATCTCCAACACTGCCTCGTACCTGCGGCTCTGGGCCCTCAGCCTCGCCCACGCACGTGAGTGTGTTTCTCTCCGGTCGGGAACCATGGCCTTCCCCTTCTCTGGGCACTCTCTCAGGCGGGGCCTTAGAGAGAGTGAAAATTACAGAAAGTTTCTGGGATTATTCAGACTCCAAAGTCCCGAGAGAATGATGTGCAGGTGGGAGAATCAGCGCTTTCGCCAGGTTGGCGATGCACAGTGGTCCCACTCGTGTCGTGGGAAGCCAGAAGGCAGGGACACTCCAGGGGAGGTGTGGCAGAGCAGTGCAAGGCCCGCAGCGCTGCTCCCCAAATAAACCAGGTGCCTGTCTCTCCTCTGTCCCCAGAGCTGTCGGAGGTGCTTTGGACCATGGTGATCCACATGGGCCTGAGGGTGAAGAGCTTGGCGGGAAGTCTGGCGCTGTTCTTCATCTTCACCGCCTTCGCCACCATGACCGTGGCCATCCTCCTGATCATGGAGGGCCTCTCGGCCTTCCTCCACGCACTGCGGTTACACTGGTGAGGGGCGGGGCGGCGGGGCGGCGGGGGCCAAGGCGGGGACGTGTCCTTGGCTGCACTGAGGGCAGCTTTGCTCCTGTCCAGAATCCAGAGCACTAGGAAGTGTCTGCTTTCACATCATTGCACCCAAGGACCTATCTTAGGAGTGCGCTTCCGGAAGTGCCCGCAGATCAGCACAGCTCACTTTCAGAGCCTCCGGGGAGAATTCTCGGTGCGTGTGTCAGGCTCCCTCCCCCTGCCTCTCATTCTGCAGTGATCCTGATGGTGGAAGCTTAAAAGATCTGCCGAGGTTTTATTTTTTGTTTGTTTGGGGTGTTTTGCTCTGGCATAGAACTTTCTCCTGTCTTCAGAGCGATGAGAACAGCTCTGGAATAGGTCCTAAGCCCAGAAAATGCTGGAGCACAGGGCGCCCCAGTTTTGCCCCCTGGTTCTGGCCTGTGTCAGGGACTTTGTGGAGGACCCGTGGCAGCTCGTGTGGGTGGGGGACTGCTTCCCCAGTGTGTATGTCAGTGACCGAAGCAGCTTCAGGAGGGCAGGTTTGTTTTCTTTGATGTAGTTGGTGGCTCTTCATGGCCCTGCATGGGGAGGGAGCTCAGCCTAGAGTGGGGGAGCTGGAATCTGGCCTGGACTGTGACTCTGTGACCTCAGAGTAGGGCTGCCAGATTCAGCAAACAGCATTACAGAACACCTGTTAAATGTGAATGTCAGGTCAACAATGGAGAGTTTGGGGGATTTTTTCTTATAGTGTAAGTATCTTCCAAATGTGCCTGGAACATACTGACACTAAAACTGTATCCTGTGCTACTCTGGCCGCCCTGCCCCGTGGAGTCTCCATTCCCTCCATATGAGGCGATTCTCCCTTTCTGTGAACTCTGGAAGTTCTGGACCCCCTCTCCTCAGCAACACCTCCCGCCATGTGAGCACACAGTATTACCAGCTTAGGGGTCACAGGGTCACGGACCCGACCTTAGGAAGCCCTAGATGACATCATCGGTGGTGTTCCTGATCTCAAGGTCAGGAGGGGGCTGCTAGGAATGTCTCTTCCCATCACTAATCCAAACCTGAAGAAAACCCAGAACCTGAACCTGAACCCTCCTCGTCCCACCCTTATCGTTGACTCTCCCAGTTGAGCCTCCTAAGGGAGCCACTATTTGTTGTTCTAAGTTGCAGAGGAGAAAGCTGAGGCACGTAGGGGAGTCTGTCCTGCGGGTGGAGACATGCTTTCTCAGTCTCAGGGCTTCCCTCCTGCTCCTCCTCCCGCCCAGCTGTTGTTTACTGCGAGCCAGGAGGTCAGGAGCTCCCCATGATTCAGACGCTGGCCGCTCCCCTGTTCCTGGCTTATCAGCGTCCCCCTCCCAGCACACTTCCTCAGCCTCGCGGTGTGAGGGAACGTCTGTGCAGCCAGCCTGTGGTGACTCACTTTTTCTTGCGCTCTTGGCTTCCTTCCTTTCCTAGTAACTCTGTCTCCTGAGCCCTGGTCTTGAGGGAACAGTAACCACCCCACCGTGATTCCCAAGTGGGGGGCCTGCTGCCTCCCCTGGGCGGGCAGGAGGGGGCGCCACGGTGCTGGGCCAGCACTGTTAGAGCCGTGGGCAGGCACAGGCGCTCCGTGCCTCTCGGTCGAGGAAGGTCGCCTGGGCTTGGGCCTGTCTCCGGGGTGAGCCCCCCGTCGGTGAGGTTATGTGTTATCACCAGAGGGTTACTTCTTCCTCTGGCTCCCCGTGGCCTCCGAGTGGCTCTGTCTCTCCTCGTCCACACAAATGAGCCCGAGGAAGTGACAGATGACAGGAGAGCAGGCTTCAGAATCACGCTCTGCCCACCCTGCTGGCCGACCCCGAGGGGAGCATTTGCCTCTGAACCTCCTTGTCTCTCATGGGAAGAGAAAGGATAGGCTGCCATGATTAAACGTGAAGCAATGTGCATACCAAGGGACTCACGGTGCCCTGGCACAGCTAACCCATTGTTCAGGTGCAGATCATGGCTGTCCTGCTTAAAACTGGGGTGCCCTGTGGAGAGAGCACCTCCTTGTGGTAGTTTGTAAAGAAACTGCTTTTAGTCTGTTAGAAGGGAGACCAATGGGTGGGAAGATAGGTGATACTATCTGAATGCCTCTCTGATGTAGTTTGCAAGGAATAGACTGGTCCACCACATTGCACTTGTGGGGTTTGGTAGTGAAAATTTTGGGCAAAGAGAAAAAACAGCGAAAACTCTAGTGCAGCAGCATTTCAAATCCCATCTTACTGAAGTGAAGGCCTGTTTGGAGCTCATCCCTGCCAAGGGAATGGAATTGGTGCTAGTGCACCCCCTCCTGGCCGAATGTGGATGTGCTTCAGGGATGCCTGGGTAGCAGTTGCGAGTTGTGGCCATCTCCTGAGGGGCAACAGCTGGTCCTGCTGAGAATGGAGCAGGAACATGGTTGCTGTTTTTTCTGGTCTCCAGCCTGGTATGCAGCTGGGTTCCTGATTCTGATGCAAGGTCTGCCCCGTAATACAAGCTCTGGGTCTCTTTTGTGGGGACAAGAAGAAAAACACATGACTCGATACAAATGTAAACCACTTGTGTGAGGTCCGTGTAGGGTCAGAAGGAGGTGGGTGACATTTGAAAACAGCAGTGAGCAGGTTCGTGTGCCAGTCTGCCAGTTCCGTCTCCTGAGTCGTCTGTCCCTCTCTTTTCTCCCAACCCTGTAAAGTGGGTGGGCCTTCCTGTCTTTTCTTCCTCAGGAAAGGCAAAGGCGGGGATACGATTTGTCAGTATAACTGTGGCCATCTAACTGCTTTTAGCAGGAAGACTGTTGCCCGTGGCCTACCTTCTCTGGCAGCACCCACCCGTGTGTAGGTGTGCACACTTGCACACTCACTGACGGCTTGACGGCTGACGGGACGGGACTGGGACTGGTTAGTTGTAAGGGATGCAGTGGTGCCACCGCAGGACGCCCTGGGAGGGCAGCGTGAACGGCTGGCTGCCCCAGAAGTGAGAGGCCTAAAATGTGTCCCCGGTTGTCATCACTGTCCGGACACTGGGACCATCAGGCACGCATGTGCTCCCGGCCCTGAATTCTCAGAGTGGCAGAAAGGGCCAGAGAAGCAGCTGGGCCTCGAATCATCTTTCTAAAACTGCCTCCCCTCGCTCACACCCTGCCAGGAGAGGGGGGAGGCCCCGGAACCGGTCCCCTTCGCTTGCTCCAGGAAACCGGTTTCCTGTTACACAGCAGGAGCCATCTCTCTGGACTGTGATCCTCTGGGTCACACACAGGTGGCCTCTGCCAGGTGCTGGGGCCGGAATGGGTGCTAGAGAAGCTTCTCACAGCCGTGGGGGTCTGGGGTGGCTTGGAGCATGGCTGGGCCTGGAGGCTCCCCCAGCAGAGCCCCTGAGGAAGGAAAAGCTCGCAGGGCGGCCCCGGGGGCCCCCTTGCACCCTCACACAGAGAACTTCATGTTTGTACTTTCGCAGGAAGCACACGTTTCCCTGGTTTACAGGGAGAGGAGGGTGGGGAGACCGACAGGGGAACTGCCTCCCAGCTCCGTGCCAGGGGGCTGGGTGAGCACAGCTGAGGAGGAGGGTGATGTCAGGCCAACCCAGAGGTGCCCAGGACGTCCTAAGTCACACAGAGGGATGGCAAGAGAAGGGTGGTGGCCCCATGGGTATCTGAGAACTTCTCCCTTCACCCTGTTTGGAATTGGAATTGTTTGTGTGATTAGCCAGCCAGGAGGTCGGAATTCTGATACCTCACGGACCTGAAGGTGGCTTGCCCACTATCTGGCTACAGATTCCCGAATGAAAACGGGACGAGTCCGCCTATTGTCAGTTGTTCAGCAGTCTCTTGCCATAATGCAAACACAGCCCCCCAACACGAAGACTTCAGACCTGACAGCAGTAGGCGCCCAGCAGGAACCTGCCCCTCCCCACCTGCCCCCAGTAGCTGCAGCTGGCAGGACTTGTCAGGAGTGTTCGGATGCGGGACAGATCCGGGCCTGGTATCACTGGCTTGAGTTTAAAACTCCCCCTCCTGGATCCTGTTTTACCTGGGGACTGACAATGCTCACCTGTCTCCCAGGTGTGGAGCTAAACGCTCTGCAGTCAGTGCCCCCAGCCAGCACCCAAGGCTGCAGGGCTTCTGAGGGCCTCGCAGTGCCACCTGCAGGCAGTCCTGGTTTGCCTGCCCAGGCCACTCCCCACGCTTTCCTTCCTGCCAACCGCTCCCCTCCGGGTTTGGGGGAGGAAGCCTGTGTGTACACCACTGCCTGCCGCCTGCCTCCCCCGCCGGTTCCTGCAGGGGCCCTGGTGCCCCCAGGGTCACTCAGCCCCAGTGGAAACTATTCCTCAGGGCAGCTCTCCTCGCTTTTCTAGGCTCTGAATCATGCGTTTTCTGCCCATATTTGGTGCTGATTTGGTTGCTGGGCAGCCATCCAGGGCGCATTTGCCAAGTGCTCACAGGAGCGAGCTCTTCCCCTCGAGTCCGATAGGGCCCCCGGGAGGCCACGCAATGGCTGCTGAGCTGCCTGGGAAGGGAGTTGAAGCTCTGTTTTTCCTTTTAGTCCCCAAGAGGAGAATTCTTCCTCAGATGTTTTTGTAGTTGGAGCATGTTTTTGCCATGGCTTTGAGGAGACTTCCCCTCCTGACTTCCCCCCTTTCCTGAGAATTTCCTCCCCTAACTCGAAAGCCTTGAATGTTCACTCCCAAACCTCCCCTCTCCTTCCTGCTCCCAAGGGAACAATCAGCAATGGTGCGTGCTGGTTCCCAGGGCTGAGTTCACAGCCGCTCAGGGGCTTCCCTCGGGGTCCGCTGGGAGCCTGCCAGGTGTTTGGGGGGCTCCTTTTTGCTGTTAGAAACTTGCCGGCTTACCTTCTGCACGTGGCCCTCTGCTCAGCAGGTCAGAGCAGGACCGAGGACACGCGGCGCCTTGGTGCACGGCTTGCTGAGGGCAGGCCCCGGGCTGCAGAGGCAGAGCTGTGCGCACTGGGAGGAGGCCGAGTTCTGGGCTTGGGCTGGCACAGGCAGCAGGAGGCAGGGCGGCTCTCCCGTGCGCACCTCGGAGAGTAAAGCTTCGGGGAGTGTGGGGTCGGCATCTTTCTGGCCGGCTGTGAAATCCCAAAACGTTTCCATGGGATGATGACTGCCCTCTTCCTTTTCCCCAGGGTCGAGTTCCAGAACAAATTCTACAGCGGGACCGGTTTCAAGTTCCTACCCTTCTCCTTCGAGCACATCCTGGAAGGGAAGTTAGACGAGTGATCCCGCACGGGGACGTGCCCACGGTCCTCCCCCGCACTCCATGGTGATAGCTGTGCTCCTCTCGTGTGTTGGTGTGATCCCTGGATTTGGGGGCATTTGTGTCATCCTTGCCACCTTCCCCCAGCTGCATGTGAGATCCGGCCCTCCCTTGGGTCTCCTGCCTCCTCAGCTGTGCAGATTGTGGTGTAGTGATCCTGAGAAGCTGGGCTCTGCTGTCACTCACACCCCTGGCACCAGCCCTGCCCTCCATCCCCTCCGAGCCAGCCCGCTCCTCCCTGGCGCCTGGTGGTGACTACATTTCCATGTGAGCCCGATGCCCAGGGAAGGAGCACCTTCACCATCCACACCCAGATTCTGTTTCTGCTGCTGCCACTCCAGTCACTGATTTTTGGAGGGTGCTCTTGGCACCCTTCCCGGGGTCAGTAGGAGCAGATCCAGGAAGATGGTACTTTTGTCCTCTGCCCCCCACCTCACGCCTTCAGAGCCCTTGTTATCAGGACTCCAGCTGGATCGCATTGTGCCATCGTGCACGGCTTCTTGTCACCCCCAAGGGTCCCAGGGCACCCAACACCATCTCCCTAACCTCCACTCTCAGACCTCTCCTCTTCCCTCCCAGAATCCCCTTCTCCCACTCCCTCATTTGCATCCTGATGGCACAGCTGAGAGAGACCCAAAACAGAGGTCCTGGCTAACTGCTTCCCAGGCATTCGAGGGCCCTGGCACGAACTCGTCCTCTGGGCAGAGGGTTTAAGTTGATGCTCCTCCCGGTGCAGACCGGGACCCTTCCCCACCCCCAAATCATGAATCTTGAGTGAAGGACCGGGATCGTCAAGGCTGGTTCTCTAGCAGGCCAGCCTTGCTCTGCCACGAGTGCCCCTTCCCCTTCCACAGTGAGCCCAAGTAGGGGCATCAGGTCCTGGCAGGGAGGGTCACTGTCCCTTACCATTTGCTGATTGGAGGTGACTGGCTGGGCACCCGGGCATGAGGTTGTGAGAGCTGCACAGCCTGCCAGTGGGTGATGACGAGCAGCCCACGGGGCCAGCTCCGCGGTCACCCCGCACCAGCTGTGGTCTTAGGGCCTCTTAAGCATGTGTTGACGCGGCAGCCCTGGCTGCTTCAGCTAAATTGATCCAGTCACTTTCCGTGGCCGAGATAATCCCCTGATGGCCAGGCCCTTGTCCTCTTCCACCTGACTCTCCTGAGCGAGCTACTCAGAGCTGTTCACTCAGCCCTCCCAGGCGCGGCTGGCCCCGGGTGTGGGCCATCCGCCCCAGCTGCCCCAGCCCCCCACGTCCTGGCCAGTTGACCTGCCCCAGACCTTGTGCAGAGCCCCCCCCCCCAGTGGCCCCATGGTTTACATGATGTGATTATCTTGGTTCTGTTGACAGCGGGGCTGGATGTAGAGTCTTCTGTGTGAGGAACCCTGCCCAAGGCCCTGCTGTCAGACATTCCTGTGCTGAATAAAGTGTGTGTGAGTCTACAGAGGGAGGCTGGCTGTCTGTGCCCACAGCCCCTCCTCTACATTTCTGCTTCTCTGATCAAAGGCCACAGCCACTAAGGCCCTGACCAGGCAGTACGTTTGTGAAATTCTCGCCTTATCTCAAGTTTCACAGGCGCCTTCCCCCTGGCTGGAGCCAAAGCAGCTTTGCAGGCACTACCCATGGTGGGCGGGGACTTAGGAACCCTGCTTCGCCTCCCCTTCACACTCGCCCACCCAAACAGCAGAGGCCCTGCCCTCTCCCGCTTCCAAAGGTGCTCTTGGGGCTCAGCAACCTGGCTGTTTTGAGCCCTGATGCCCTTGGCCGTGGTGTAAATGGAGGCTCAGCATGTGGTCTGGGGCAGCTGGAGAATGTGAGGTGCTGAGGTAGGCAGGTGGCTGAAGAGCCTGCCGACTGTCCAGGCAGGAGGGGGGTGGGCAGGGAGGGCACTTCTGCCTCCTCACTGCCATGTAAGGCATCCACATTCTTTCCCAGCGCCCGCCCGCCCTCCCCAGGCCTCCAGACCAGGGGCTGCGCCGGAATTCCAGCAGCAGGCTGACAACTGCGGCTCCAGGAGGGGCAGGAAACCCCTGTTCATTTCATGTTCCTGTCCTCCCCCCTTCCCCCCCCCCCAGCCTCAAGCCCTCTCCTCCCTAACAGGCCAGCTGCCCTGGAATAGGCCTGGCGCAGCATCTCCACCTTCTCCGCCAAAAGTCCAGAGTGGAAACTCAGGTAAAGGAGCTCTTTTAGCCTCTGCTCTGTTACTGACTCCAAAAGGGAGGCCTAATCGAAATGGATATTTGGGCGCTGGCCGGGTAGCTCAATTGGTTAGAGCATCGTCCTGATACACTAAGGTTGTGGGTTCCCTTGACCAGAATTGAACCCGGAACTCTTCAGTCTGCAGGCGGACCCTCTATCCACTGAGCCCAACCAGGTAGGGCGTCCATTGATTTTTCAACAAAGGGGCCAAGAAAATCCAATGGGGGAAAGAACAGTCTTCAACAAATGGTATTAATACAACTGGGAATCAATCCACAGGTAAAGAACAAATACGGTCCGGGACCCCACACTATGTACAAAAGAATGAATCACGGACCTAAATGTAAGCGTTAAAACTAAAGCTCTTAAGAGGAAATCACAAGTCTTCATGCTGACCTTGGGCGAGGCAATGATTTTTAGATATGACAGCAAAAATAACAAGTGGTGAAGATAAGCTGGGCTTTAGGGAAATTAAAAAATGTTTTTGGTTCAATGGAAAAATAAAGACATTCACCCCAGGAGACAATATCTGCAAATCATACAGTTGACCCTTGAATAATGGGTCCACTTATACTTGGATTTTATTTTTCAATAAATTTGCAGTCAGCCCTCTATGTCCCCAGGTTGAATGGCCAGTAAGCCCATGAAAAAATGCTCAACGTAATTAGTCATTAGAGAAATGCAAATCAAAACCACGAGGAGATACCACCTCACATCCACTAAAAAGGTTTATAAGAAAGCTAATTACAAGGGCCAGCAAGGATGTGGAGTGACTGCTGGTAGGAATGCAAAATGGTGCAGCTGCTTCGGAAAGCAGCCAGGCAGTTCCTCAAAACGTTAAAACAGAAGTAATACAAGACCCAGCAAGTTGACGTCTAGGTATCCGCTGAAGAAAAATGAAAAGATGCGCACGCAGACTTGTGCACAGCGTTCGAGTAGCATTATTCATAATAGTCCCCCAATGGAAACAACCCAAATGCCCACCAGTTGGATAACAAAAGGCAGTCTATCCATATAATAGGTATTCATCTACAATAAAAAGGAATAAAGTACTGCTGCTTGCAACACTGAATGGACCTCAAAAACACTATGCTAAGAAACAGGACACAAGACCATATAACATGATTCCATTTCGGTGAAGTAGGCAAATCTAGAGAGACAGAAAGTAGATGGGTAATGCCTAAGAGTGGCTGCTGGATGCATTTGGGGGCAGGATTAAAATAGGAGATCCCCTTCTCGTGAAATCCCAGGACCCCAGACATCTGCCGAGTGGTCCTGTGCTCTCTATCCAGTGAATGCCCCTTCTCTTACAGTCCTAGTACCAGCATGAAAAGGGTAGCTTTGGGCCTGCTCAGTACTTTAAAGATGGGGCAATTTTTAAACTGTCACCACCTTCAGGAGCCACTCTGTCCTATTCACCAGGGATCTGGGTGGACTGTGCCTCTTTCTGTCCCAGGAGCCATGGATAGAAGGGGCATCATTGGAGCTCCTCAGATCCAAGAGACCTGGCTGCCTTCCCAGCTCCCGGGCCTGCCCAAGGCATGTCCTAGGCATGGGCTGCTCCCTGGTGGCCAGACAGGGAAGGACTCATTCCTCCTCACAGGCAAGGTGAGTGCCATGCGATCCTAGTTGGGCTGTGACAGGCAGGCAACTGGATTGGCTGGGCAATGTTCTGGGGTACATAGGCCGAGGGGCCAGGAACGGAAGAGAACATGATGAGATGGAGAGAGGAGAGTCAGGCCTACTTGTTTCACACACATTAATGGAAAATGTCAAGTCCTCCCGCTCCCAGCATCCTAGTACTCCATGGGAGGCCACCACTGTTTTCATAGCCTTTAAAAAAGATGCACACAGCCCTAGCTGGTGTGCTTAGTGGTTAGAGCATCAGCCCACAAACTGAAGGGGTGCGGGTTCGATTCCAGTTAAGGGCATACACCTTGGTCTCAGGCTTGTTCCTTGGCCCCAGTAGGGGATGTGCGAGAAGCAACCAATCTGTCTCTCTCATTTCCATATCAATGTTTCTCTCTCTCTGTCTCTCCCCCACCCTTCCACTGTCTCTAAAAAAAAAAAAAAAATTATTGGAAAATAGACCCTCGGGTGAGGATTAACAACAACTAAAAAATACCCACACAAATGCTACTGGTTTGACCATTTGCAGAACATTCCAAATCATTAACAACACAACTTCCTCATTTTTCAGTAAATGCCGAATAGTTCACGCTTTAATTTTTTCCGTCACCCACTCCTGTTGTCAGAGCTCCCAGCCTGATGGGGAAGATGAGAAAAGAGTGTGACGGTTTGAACTCATCCCTGAAGCTCCTGCCTACCATCTACGAGCTCAGACTTTAAATGTTCTACTAAACCCCTGGATGGTGTCCCCAACCTACTGCCCCACACACACACACACACTCTGGGTGAACCCAGACCCCACAGAGAGCCCCAACTCCCATCCACGCGGTCCCTGAGATCCAGAAATGCCAGTAAAACAGGCTCACCTGAAGAAAGGGGTGTTCGGAGGGAAAACTGGGTGCGAGTGAGGGATGCTGGAGAGGAGCAGAGAAGGGTGTGGGGAGACTGCTGCAGGCTGTAGCCCTTGAGAGTGCATCTCTCTGGGCCGGACTTGGAGCGCTCCCTGAGAAAGGCTGAGAACCTTCTGATACTAGAAACTGGGTGAGAGCAGGGGCTGCACCTCCTGAGAGCTGCTCAGAGCCAGGAGCAAGGCAGGGCCTGCTGCTGTGTCTGGGGGCAGGGAGCTGGGGAGCC